TAATTAATGACGGTAATTCTAAATGCGGATCACCCTTCCGTGAATCTCCATGCCGCAACCGGCTCCAAGACTCCTGGCGGTGGGTATTATGATGCAGAGACACCCCTTTTATGCGTGACCAAAAGGGTGACACGGGGAGAGCCACGTGCAGAACTTTGAAAGAAAAAAAGTTCCTTCCTCTTCTTGGAACGAATAAAAAACTTGGGATTCATTTTGGTACATATTTCCTGTAAATAATAAAATTCACATTTTATACAAAATAATCCTAGAAATCTCTTCAAAAAAGATTCATCGTTCGATCAAGACCGATATACCTTTTACTCTGATGGAAACCAAAATGCTGTACAATATTTTTTTATACACATTTCGCAAAAAGAAAAATTGTGTTTTTGCTTGTCCTTGTTCCCTGCCGTACAGACCATTTATTGTTTCTTATACAGTCCTCAGCCAGTTACACCTTCACCTGGAAAAGAAACTTTTGTTAATAATTGTTGAGATTTCATTAATTTTCTAATGTTAGCAATGTACCTATGTTAAGATGGAATAGCAATGAATTTCACTTTCCATATGATTACTACAACCCTTCGCCGTACCTTAATTGCAATAGTATTAGAAAACTTACTTTTTAGGTACGAAATCAATCAATTTCACTGTCCTATAGAATAATTACGGACCTTCATCTGAAGAAATATATTTTTTATCAGCAATCATCGAAATTTTATCAATTTTGTAGTGTTAAAAACTTACACTTTTGTCGGATAGAAGAAGGATAAGTTCCACCGTTTTGTAGGATAATCCCCCGAGCAAAATCTTCAGCGTGAATTAGGATGCGGGGACACCCCCGTCGAAGCGTGACCAAAGGGTGTTTAGAGGAGGTAGAACTCTTTGGAGGGGGTGGAACTCTTCCTTCCCTCCACCGATCACGAAACAACACGTCAGGACCGTGTCGGCATAATTACACGAACGGCGTTAGTGTCACATATCACGGACATTGGGGGGTCGTGAACTGGGATCGAGGCCGGATGGGGTGGATGCACCTGCAAGGAACCATATTTCATCCACCGTTCGAGGCCGACTTTTGTGCCTTTATGCGCCGTGAAATCGTCCGGGGGTCACTGGGTTTCCCTAATTTCTATTATGCAGAGATAAGACCGTGTTAGGACGGCGACCACTCGAGCTACAGGGGTGATCCTCGAATCCTATCTGAACAATGCTCCCTTTCATCCAGGTGTCGTCTCATCCATCGATTGTTTTTTTTTTTATCCCTCTTCCCGTTTAACCTAACTTCTGTAACAGAATCGTAATTTATGAGTCTAAAAGTGCCATGGTACATTTATCCTAAAACTCATCGTTTCGAAGATATTCAACTTTGACTATTACTTTCATTACGAAACACGTAATTTGTCACACAAATCTATCGAATTTGTGCCGAAAAAAGTGGACATTTTATTTTAAAAAAAAAGGACACTAACACGGACTACACAATTTTTGTAAGTAATGTTTTCACTCGTTGCTTGAAGAATTACATTTTTCATTAATTATCAGACCTGGCCCCATACTTTTAGCCAGTAGTGTGTGTTTTTCATAGAATATTCTTCGGGCAGACGATTGTTCTCCATTACAAAAATCACTCTGCCTCCACTTAAGTCGCAAGCACAACGGCGATGGCTCGTATACGAGGCCAATCAGCCGGCTGAATTACAGGCCATGAAGACAGCAGACGTGGGATCTCGAATAAAAACTGGCATATTGAGTGCATCGATGTTTGCCGGTTCATTGTCTACCACGGGGAATCATATTTGGCAAATAAAAACCCTTCTGGTCTCTTTGTCTATGTCCTTCCCCGTCCCTGACGATTCCCTGCGCCGAGTATACTCGAGTAGTCCAGTCGTTGGATCAAAAAAATTTGATTTTTCCAGTTACAAAATGTGCTCAAACTTTAGAGTAGAGCAAATCAAACCGGTCCGGAAGAATTCAACGAGAAACAATCGCTACATTCGAACTATTGAATGAACTTGAGACAATTTTCGATATGGTGAAATAATGAACATTGCATTCAGTCCCCTTTGTGATGGGCTTTACACTATTTGACTAAGAACAAGATACAAACTTAATATCATTTGTATACTATTCTATTGAAAATTAAACGACTTGGAACGAAATCATTGTTATCATCGGAAACAATTGAAAAATTTGACACTAGAAACATGTAAAATGTCATTTTCTTCTAAAAAGTGGACTTGATACATTCTGGCTTTCGGATTCAGATATCCATTCAGAGTACCGTGCACGTTCACAGGGAACCAAAGAAAAAATTCCGTTTGTCCTTCCTTAAAGGGGTCACACCACCTTGAAAGGAAAAGTTCTAGGCTCGTCTCTCCGAGGCAATATATACGTGTCCTTCTTTCTCTCTCTCTCTCACTGTGAAAGTCTTGGTCCCGCTAGTCAGAGAAGTATTCTCGACCGTTTGTCGGGCCCCGCGTAAATACGCGACAATGCCGTGCCTTTGTGCCGTGCCTCGTCTATCGGGGCGATGTGTTTACCAAATAAAAGCCTATATACGTCGCTCTTTGTCTCTGTTCGGCCACCCCGTCGTCTCCTCCAGCCCCCCCCCCTCAATACCTCCCTATCTCCCACCCCTACGGCCAATGATACGCCTAGTTGCCGACGAGAAATACGTCTCGTGGCCCCCTCGGCGCGTGCACAAAGGGGCGCATCGGAGTTTGGCGGTAATGGTGATGCAAAGTATTTTCCAGGGTGGAACACGTGCGTACACCCGATGGGGGAACCGGTAAATCGGGGCCGACAGCCAGCATACGTTTAAGGAGAGGAGGACAGGGGGTGGTGGGCAGGAGGGGTTGACTGGCCTGTTTGCGGGCCAAATTTGTTGGGAATATTAGCTGTCACCTTGGGGAATCCTGAATTTCTGGTAGACCGGGGAATGGATCTTGTGACGTGGTCACCGTTTGTCTGGTCTTTGATCGATCATTCTATTTGCTAGATAGCGGCCGATCAGCATCTATGACAATGATCGGCCACGAAAACGTGGTTTCTGATGACTGGTCTTGGACGGATCATTCCACTTGCCGTGGCAATCGTGGAACACCGATGACGCCGTCACCGCCAAAAACGTGTTCTCCGAAGGGCTGGTCTTTGGCGGACCATTCCACTTGCTGGATAGCTTTATGTTGGAGATGATGAGTGAATACTCGTGCATGAGGTTTTTATTCTAACAACACAGAACACTACCAAAAGCAGTCAAAATGACTGGTTAGTACATTCTGATAAAGGTGATTCAAATGTTTTAAGTGGACTGTGGATGTTTATGCGTATTAGTATTATTTCAGGTACTAATATCTGAAAAATGAAAATGTGCGTTGCACTTTACCAAGTCCAATGATGGAGGAGATACTATTCAAATTTATTTTACTCCAGGTCGATAAGATCCTGAAATAATACACAAGGGGGCTGAATTGAATGTCGTCGAAGTAATACTTAGGTAGTACCTTTAAGTTTATTATTTTTCAGCTCACCAAGAATCATCCTGCTAGAGAGAATGTAGACCTGATCTATCTGACTACCAAAGCTTCAAAGAATCCTCCATTTTTAAAAACTCAAGATATACATCTACAACCGCCGATAAGGTTCAATGTGTATTTAAATTACAAAATGTAATTGTCAAGCGTGTTTAAGCGTGGAAATTTCAATTTTTCTAACAAAATAATAATTCTTCCGGAATGAGTCAACATTTGGCCAACGATTGTTTAATCTCGCTAACTGTTTAAAGGGTCGGAATAACGCTCTTAGATACATGATGTTTTTCACCATTTGAATAAAATTGTGCCGAAAATTCTGCCCTAAACCATTATCATATTCAACTGTTCCATTTCCAAAAAAGAAAAAGAAAATAGATCGAAGAATTCTTCCACAGGTAGAAAATCGAAGGAAATTCACACCCAAAAACCGGGGCGGTACGTCATTGGGAGCGTTGTCGAGATATTGATCTCCCCTATTCCATCGCGACCGGTTGAGCACCGCGACACTCCCTCCCCCATCAGAACAACCGTCGAGTATCGCAGGGGGCGTGTCCCGTAGCAGCCAATCCTCCGGACGTATCCAACGTCCTCCCTTCGTTCGTGTGGGGGATGAGAGCTACCACCCCCGTTTTCACCCTCGTCGATCGGTCGTCTATCTCGCGACGTACTGGAGAAGGGGTGGACGTCGTTGGAAGGAGGGGGTGGGAGGTTGATTTTCACTGTCGATGGTCGGTGGCTTACGTCAAAAAAGCTTCAGAGTCCGGCCGGCTGACACCACGAGTTCGAGCTGTGTGGAACGTCCTGGTGGCCTCTCGTACAAGCACCACCCCTCACCTCCCACCCTCGAAGAAAAGCAGCAGCTTCTTCATCCTCAGGATGATAAACAATGGAACATCGACGGTTCGTCGATGCTGGACGTCCGTCAGGATACCTCGAGACGCACGGATCTATCCTTAAGACCTGTCATCTAGGTGGAGAACCGTCGGGGTTGATTATTGTTTCACATTGATGGTGAATACGTTGAACTTTCCGACTGTTCGATTGATTTTTACGGTCGTGATATATATTTACGTAGAGTACAACGGAGGTGGTTACCAGTGATCGAAGGTGTTGATCGACAGTTTTCTTTTCCGAGGGATCGTTTCAGAGTGACCTTCGAGAATAAGGGGATGATTTCTAGTGATCGACAGTTTCTTTTCGTGGTATCGTTTGAGAGTGACTTTGGAGGACAACGGGGGATGATTGCTAGTGATCGAGAGTGTTGATCGACAATTTGTTTGGTGGGACCGTTTCAGAGTGACTCTGAGGACAAGGGGGTGGTTTCTAGTGATTGTGGGGATTGATCGACGATTTCTTTTCGTGGTAATCGTTCTGGTTTTCGTTGGATTTTTCGAGGAGGCTAGTTGTTAAGAGTGCGTGTGTGAGTAGAAAAGTGCGATAGGTATCGTGAGGATATTAAGAACCATGTTGGAATTCTACCCTCCGCTACCGGGTACACTGAACCGGCAGGGCGAGCCAGGACCGCGGATGACTGGCTTCGCGGCGCCCCCGATGCCGTTCAGGCCTACGAATGACAACAATAATGCAGGTAAGATGGAATTTTACGTTCGTTGATATTTTCGCAAAACTTTGTGGGGTTCAAACGAGATATTTTCTAAATTCAATCGGGGTGGTTAGAGATACATAGGATTCAAATTGGTTGGTGGTTTTTGATAAGACGTTTTGCAAGTGAATACTGCGAAGAGTTTCACTCGACATAAGATTCAGAAAGTGTTTCGTTCGTAGATTCCTGACTAAAGAAATTGAAATATAATTTGCTTCTGGCAACGAAACCGATTGAAGGGTGTAACACATAAATCAACAAGTACTTGGCGAATATCATAAGTCACAAGTGACTTTTGGTTTCCTTTTTCAAATTGACACCCTATCTAATAAGATACTTTACATTAGCCTACCACGGACAGTTTTTTTTATTAACTACCACGCACAGTTCTTTACTTATTATTAACAAATTCATGAACTTCTATAGTTCCCACTTTCTAGTGAAAAATTTAAAGAAATCGATCAAAGACGAGACGACTGTCACGCAAAGAAACTTATCATTCGCCATCGTAGCATCGCTTTATCGCTATCGGCAATCGATAAAGCGACGGAATAAATTTCATGTGCCTCGCAATATTGCCTCCCCCCAACCCTCCCCCTCCCGAAACGCTATCACATTTTTCAGCCTGTCAGCCATATCAGTCAGAATAACTCCGCGCGCATTTATTTCCCTGGCCACAAAACTATTTCGCGATTCCAACACCTGAACCGTTCCGATCTACCTGTGAATTAACACCTGTGAAATGTCACTGTTCCTATCGAACCGCGAGATGCAGGATCAAATTGATTTCTCATTGATTGTAATTGTCAATCATCCATGAGAGTTCAGACGTTACCGACACACTGGGGGGTCCCCCAGTGGTGGGAATCACGTCTGAACACTCGCAAGAGAACAACCCGAATTGACAGTCGCCGATTTTGATGCAACTCTGTGAGATTCTGGTGATATTCGACCGAGTACAGGTCACACCGTTAAATTTGGAGACCGTTTTCAATCCTCTTCAACCTGGATAAAAACAGCTACAAAAAAAAAAAAAATACGTTGTCAAATATACATATGTATGAGAACTACAATCTCACAGAATTGCGTAAAAATCGGCGATTGTCAATTCGGGATGTTCCTTTGTCAGTGCCGAGGATCCCTCGAGCACTGATCGATGATTCACTGTAACATCTACAAGAATAGAAAATTCCATCACTATCTACGGACCCCCTGTCGCCGTTCTACAAGACGTTCTCGTTTCTATCCTTTATAGAACAAAATAACCAAGAAACAAAGCGACTAAACACAATAAGGCGGTTACAATGTACTATCCTCCGAGAATCATCACGATATCGTAAGAAGAACAAATAGAGAGGTGTCGAAACAGACAAAAAAAAAAGGAAAGAAGGTAATCTAACGGTCCCGTCGACGTGGTCCTCTGTTTCCAGAGCCGTCGGTCTCCGTGAAGACGGAGTCGGTCTCCGTGAAGACTGAGTCAGGCCTGCTGGAGACGATCTGCGCTGGTTGCGACGACACCATAGCGGACAGGTACGTGATGCAGGTGGCAGGGAGGAACTACCACGAGAAGTGTCTGTCGTGCGCCGCCTGCGCGGCCCCGTTGACCCAATCGTGCTTCATACGGGAGCTGAAGTTCTACTGTCGTAACGATTACAAGGAGATATTCAGCGTCAAATGCGCCCGATGCATGGAGAAGATCAGCCGATCGGACTTTGTGCTCAGGGCGGCCGGTCTGGTGTTCCATGTCGAGTGTTTCGTCTGTTGCGCATGCGGACAATCACTTCCGCCTGGGGCACAGTACTTCCTGCGGCAGGGTCAACCGATCTGCAAGCAGGACTACGAGCACGAATTGTACCTGAACAGTCCTCAAGGTTCGTTACACGATGATCTTTTTGTCAATTCGATCGTCTCCAATCTCCTGTTCACGGTTTTCTTTGCCTTTCTTTCAGTCTCTGCTTGTTTTCTTTCGTTTCGCGCGCTTAAGAGTTGAACTACCGAAGCAATCAGAATGACTGATTCAGTACATTCTTACAACGAGATGATTAACTCTTTCGTTCCCACTGTTGCCGTATGAGTATGGGTTAAACATTACTTTGCCGGATCAAAAATTATTGACTTATTCTTATACATACCTCGTAAGATTTCCAGGGACCAATCCTTTTTCTGCCCCACTGCTTCGATGGTCAGCTATCTTGACAATACACATTCACTGCACACTAAGTATGCAGACGTTGCTCCACTGAATGCTTCGCAGCACGTTGACCATCCTTCGCAATTCCCCGTAAATTTGTCCACGAATCCTTTGTTCTTCGACTCGTTAGGTGGCATGTACAGGGAGCATTTTTTTTCCTTTTCAAATCTTATTCCCCGCCTCTCTCCACATTCCTGATTCAAAAGAAAAGAAAAACCGGAAAATTATCGAAAGCTTCGGAGTGTTGTTTTGTTTTGTTTCTCTTGTACGTACGCGATTTTGGAAATTATAGTCAGGCAGACAAGCGGTTAGAGTCGGTAACAGAACCGAGAAAAAGTTCGACGACAAACTGCTCTCGACTGTCGTTGATTCTTTATTATTAACACATATTTCTAGCGAGAATCGAGAGATTGGCGATCTGAAAAAGAAATTGAACTGATTGAAAACTTAAATCGAACGGTGGTGTATCACAACGTTTCGCGGTTCGTTTGCTTTTCTCCACTTCTGACGTGTGTACGATTCGGAAAATTGAAATTGAACAAGATCGAAAAGAGATCGACGCGAAATCATCGACGACACGTTGCGAGGAAACGCATTTGTACATACCTTGTTGCATTGTTCGCAGGTTGTACTACTACAATCTAAAGACATCCAAAGTAAAAGCCTACAGGAATTTCGTATCGAGGCTGTCTCTTTTCAAGGTAACTACTCTTTAAGGCAAACCGTAAATTAGAACCGAGACCCCCCGAGCGATTCGCGGTTCTTTGCAACGGAGGCACGACAGAAATAGATACGCCAATCTTGTGTAGAGAAAACAGAAAAAAAAGTATTCTCGCTGATTTCGGTGTGAAAGCATTTTGAAAAAATACATTCGATTCAGAATTTTGTTTTTTTGTCGCGGACGACAGGAATGATACGGAGGAGCAGTTTGTCGGTCAGGAGCCCCAGGGAAATCCCCAGATTGTTTCGATTCAATGAGATTTCTTGGGTTCACGCATAGTCGCCTGAATGATTCTTCTCTCTGTCTTCTACGTTCACCGTTTACACGTTAATCCTTTAAGCGTTTCAGTGCGTTTCGAAAATGTGCACTTGCATGAGCTTAATTATGTTTGAAGCTATGACGAGTATACTCAAAGGCAGAGTAAATGCATGTGCTGTAAACGCGTTGACTGATGCGTGAACTGACATTCGCTCGAGTTTGCCGGCGTCCAATCGAGTGCGTCGACGTTTCTGTAACACGAAGCGACGAATTCTTCCGTAGACTATGACTTGCTGAACGACAACCGGCCTCGCGATGGCCGTAGAGGCCCGAAACGGCCCCGGACGATCCTCACGTCCGCCCAGAGGCGTCAGTTCAAGGCTGCGTTCGAGATCTCGCCGAAGCCCTGCCGGAAAGTACGTGAAGCGCTGGCGAAGGAGACCGGTCTTAGCGTGCGTGTCGTGCAGGTCTGGTTCCAGAACCAAAGGGCGAAGATGAAGAAGCTGCAAAGAAAAGCGAAAACCGAGCCTGGATCGGACAAGGAGCCGAAGGAGGAACGTCGGCCTGAGAGTCCTCACAGCGATCACAGTAAGCTACTTTTATGTCTTCGTTCAGCATCTTTTAATTTCTTAAGCAGATAATTGCAAAACACACTATCCTTGATCAGTATTTGCCCATTCATATTGGATTCGCTTTACTTTTCCTCTTCATCTAGCTTCTCTTCAAGTAAATTGTAACAAACACATACTACCACTGATCAGTATTCGCCTGTCCATATTGGATTCACTTTACTGAAAAACAAGAACACGTGTCAGTTTCTCGAAACAGCTAGTTCTCAATGAGAAAGTTCAAAAAGTGGAAAACACAAAGTAACTTAGTAAACTTTCCTTCGATAGAAGATTGTTTGAAACTTATTGTTAGTGTGTGTCAGAAACTTTAATAATGTTTAACAGGGTTTCTACTTTCTATCGGAACATGATAGAAGCCTTGATACGATAAACAAATCTCTGTTTGATTCTAGTTCCCACAGATTAACCAGAAAATCGTATATTTTGTATAAACATCCACTTATGAGTGATAGTGTGTGTGTGTAGTTTCTCATTCTTAAACCTGCTGCACAGCCTTTGAGTCTTCTTCCATTCGATCGATCTTTTTTGCTTGTTTGGTCCACTCCAAGAACATTCATGAGATCTTGAAGTACATTCTAAAAGCAGTAAGAAGGCGAGTCCAAAAGTATGAATGTTTCATCTGTGAAACGTTCGAATCTTCTAAGATGATTGAGTTTCTCACCTTTGTCTGTTACATTCGATCAAAATCAGGCTTGTTTTTGTCTTCCTGTTTCCAATCGTATCCCTCATAATGCTAGCGAAGACTGGTTAATGGGGCTTTGCAAAGAGAAAACAAAAGAAAGCAAACTAGAAAAACGAACTGTCCACTCGGTTACAAAAACGCCAATCGTGTTTGATCTCGTTCGCAGGTCATTATTTGAACGCCATGAACATGCGCGACGGGGAATCTTCTAGCTTCTCCTCGGCCACGCAACCGCTCAACCCCAATAACCCGTACTCGCCCGACGGTAAGTTTTATGCTCTCGTGAACAAACTCAATGAAACAGCTTTCTGCTTCTTTTTGTCCATCGGGGTGCTTCAACACCCAGGGAGAACTCAGGGAATCTTACGCTCCTACTAAAGTATTAAAAAATGAGCACATCGATAATCTTAAAGACGATAAATTTTCAGAAGGTGAACTTTATCAGTTTCGTTTTCTAAACAGTTCAAATATCGCTTGGAACTTGGAACTCCTTAAGTGGAAGGAGCGGATCTATCCGTCGCGATAAATTGATCGCATAACGTGGAACTTGATGTCACAAAAAAATGGCCATCGTGTCATACAATTCAAAATGGGTCGTCGATTACCCAGTCTTAGGAGCGTAAGATGCAACAAGAGAGAGCTTTTAAACATTAAATATACCAGCTACTTCCTCGAAGCTAGTATATTCGAGACACACAACATGTGTGCTCCGTGCATCCTCGTGAAATCGAGCTGTCTTCGAAATCGACGTCCCAGTCGGTTTTAAACGAATCGATCGTTAATTTTCAGACACGTATCCCGGCCACTCGGGCGAGAGTTACTGCAGCAGCGACCTGTCGTTGGACGGCACGGAGGCTGGTTTCGACATCGGCGAGAATGAGGGCGGCGGCGGCGGCGGCGGCGGTCAAGATGGCAGCCACCAAGGCGGCGGTTCGCATCCGCATCACCACGGGCCGTCGTCGCACGAGACACCCACTCTGTCCCAGAGTTTGCACGCCACGATAAACAATCCAATCGACAAACTGTTCATGATGCAGAGTAGTTACTTCAGTGGCGACCACGCGTAATCCAAAGCTGGTTCTAATTCCCCATGCTCCTCCCACTTCCCGCCATATTTTTGGTATCACGTTACGCACCGTCACGGACCTAGTTCCTGATCAGTTTAGGTTATTTTCCAAAAAAAATTGTTAAATAGTTATTAACTATTTTGAAATTTATACGTAAAATTCGATAGCTCACTGTGAGACACAGACATACGATTTAAGTAATCAGAAATTGCTCCATTTCCGGTTCTCACTTTAACGGTTAAATTATAATTTAATTGTATACACTTTTGTTAATACCCAAAGTAAAGATAATAGATAAATTTATTCGAATAACAACAATTCCTGTGAATTTCGTTAATTTTTCTATTTATACGATAAAAAAAACGGCGATAGTTACTACTCTTAAGTGATCAAGAACTGGGTCCGTAACAGTGTTTGTTTGTTCTCCGGCCCGAATGGCGTGGCTGGTCCCCACGCCTGGAGACGCAGTGTCCACACTTCTCATTCTTATCGTTCCTTATCCTCTGTTCCCTTTCTTCGTTTCTCAGTCACTGCAAAATGTTCGTCTGTCCATGGAGGATGTCCAGGAAAAAGGGACCAAGACTTTAGGTACATATAGTACTCAACGAGTGGAAGAAAAAATGTTTGATCGACATAGCTCCTGAAATCCATCTTTTCGAAGGGAATATATACAAAAGTTTGTTGTTATATTTTTCTTACAGATGTTCCCATATGACTTTTGCTCGTTTAAATACGAACACTCACTTGACTTTTCCACTCGGTGGATACTATAAGCACCTAAATTCTTGGACACCCTTTTTTTAAAAAATCTTGTACACTTTATTCCGTTCCTGATACTCGACAAACAGACTGTGGATCTTCGTGCAAATTCACTTCATTTTTTAGACCTGTGGACAGAAACGGGAAACGATCGAATATTTAATAATTATTTCCATTGATTTCCATTGATTCATTCTGTTGAAGGTGAAACGAAAGATTCACACTTATATAAAGGTACACTTTGAAACGAAAGATTTACCATGTTCAATATAAAAATCTGTATTTGTCTAATAAGCATCCACAGTCCAGCGTCGTTTCTGGGTCTTTCTATGTCTTCCGATTTTTATATTGTTTTTCCGCAATTTAAACCGGTTGATATTTTATTTATTTCGTCCGAATTTCCCAGCCCTTCTTTTCGACACCTTGTTCACTTTCCATTTCTTACATCTTTTCGTTCCATTCCGTTGTTTCACCTTTTTCGTGATATTATATTCGTTTTGTCTGTGATTTTATTTATTATGCATTCGAGAAGGTTATTCGAGTTTTCTGATTACTATAGCCACGAACATGGCGATGCATAGAGTAACTGCCTGCGTTAATTTATATAGTATTGTTAAGTTGATAGAGCGACGGGAGTGTTAATGTAAGTTCACCGTAGGGATATGTACAGAAACTGTTTCCGATCGATCAATTTATTTTATCGTAACATCATTTACCCATTTATAGTTCACTTATATTCAATATTATCATATTCTTCCATTTATTCATCCATGGAATATACACTTGTTGTTGACGACAAAAATTTAATTTTTTTTCTAAACTAAACTTTACTATATGTATATTTTCCATTAACGATTCCGTCAAACTGAAAATATAAATAACGACTATGTTAGACTTTTATTAAAATCTTTCTATTCAGTAAAGTTTCGTACGATTTTTAGTTAATCAGAAATCCACAGAATCTGTAGTCTGATTGTATTATTTATTTAACGATGATTTGAAGGATGAGTGAAGAATGTCGCGGTTCGATTTAATATTAAGGCGATGTATCCTTCGGTTTACACGTATAGAAAGAAAGAAACACAAAAAAGAAGCATATATTTAAACACCGACGCACGTTCGTACCTTATTTCTGTCCTAACAAGATGGTCGTCGACAGAAGGACTCGATCGGCGATGATCGAGATTCCTCCGTAAACAAGCAAACTTCGTAAACCCTCTCTGAACGAAGAACACCAAATGAAATTAATGTTAGGTTGCTGCAAAAGATTTCTTGTGTTCACCCACGACTGTATCGTATATACATTATAAGTTAAAACGAAATTAATGTTTTACTTAGGTTCGACAAGTTTTCGTATCCACTGTAGATATATGTACTGGGCAGGTAATACAGTGACTGATAAGTTTGTTCGTGAAAGGATGTCACTTCTGTTCGACCGAATTATTCTCCGAAATGCGAATTTTATTTCAATTATTTAGTTAATTTACCCTTAGAGGACAGACTGTCAAAAACAGCGGCTGGGTCAAGCGTGACCCTTAGCAAAATCTCGAAATATTCGTTTCATCGATGTATAAAAAGTTCGGTACATGTGTTTACCGATGGGTCACCAGTAACCCGGCCATAGGGACACGTGGGTTAAGAAAAATTTATCAGAAAAGGATCATACGTGTGACAAGAAAGAGATCATATACATATAAATTGCAGAAAAGTTTTGACGCCTAATTGTTATTTGAAAAGTCTGTGAACGAATTTCTGAGTCACTATAAATCCATATCTGTGTCACACACGACAAGCAACGAACCCCATTGCAGTAACCTGATAATTCGAGGATTATTTAACGAATTTTGCGAATAGAGGTTCACGTGGATCAATAATTCCAGAATGAATAATCGAGAGAGGTAAATTTTACGGAGAACGATGAATGAATGAATGAATGAACAATGTAAATGGAAGACTGTCTGTCCCTAGGACTCCAAGACGATGGATTGAGAAAGGGTTGATGCAGAAAATCGTGAACATTGCGAAAATCGATTTAAAGAGAGAAAGAAAAATTAGCCCAGCTGTGTTTGACGAAACGACGATTACTTAGGTAAATACTAAGAGTTTAGTGAGAATTACAATACATTATATAAAAAAGAAAAAAAACCGTAGAATTCTTGCCTCGTCCAGCCAGTCCTCTCCTCGATCTTTTTACATGCGTGGTTTTATTTAGGCTGGTTGGTCCCTCTGTTTCTCTGGGTCAAATCTTGAAATCACTTCTACCGAACCGATTTTCTTGAAATTTTTTTCCATTTCGATTCCATTTCATTCCGTCAGACTTTCGTTCGAGGTGAATAAAGCGAGCTTCTCTGAAATATTTTTTTTTGTGTTTCGATAATGTGATTACGAAATTAATGTTGCAGTATAAATTTGTCGAGAAATGAATGGACTCTTAACGAGAATCAATTGCTACTTACGTGATCCGGCTGGCCGAAGGGGGATAGCTCGGAAATAAGTCAGACGGGCGCGGTTAAGAATAGAGAGTTTATTGTGTGAGAAATATAACGACAAAAAAAAACAACAACGAGAGCTGAAATTCAAAACGCATACACGCAAAAATGCAGATCTCATAAGAAAAGACACCGGTTTTAGAAACGTACGAAAAACACGACGATTCGATGCTGAACGAATTCGACCGTTACAGTCGGAAACAAGGTATGGTCCATGGACGTGAACCCCGTTTCATCGATTTCTCGTTGCGTTCCTGATACATCGATGATTTTTCGATCGATTCGCGATTCTCTTTTCAGAATTTTTCACTCTTGATTAATAGCGACTTTCCCCGAAATAGTTTACGGGTGTCTTAACATATTTGCAAAAAAAAATAATTCGTCGTGAATTATCTTCCATTTTCTACTGTTGCACAATTGTTGGCATGCATACAGAGAACCGAGTATTCAGAAACTTTCATCTTATCGATGGTATTTAAGTGTTATCCAGTAAACTTTCATATTTCCTAAACGGTTATGGTGTTAATATTAGCTAAACAGTATGGCCTTCGAGAAATTCCGTAATGATTCGTCGTGTGTTCCAGTACTTTTATGATGAACAATGCACTATTTCTGATTTTGGACCGTACGAGAATCGACGAAACTTCGTTCTCTAATCATCAATTCCGTAATGGTTCTCGAATAAAAAAGGGGGTAAGTATTTACAGTAAGGGAGCCACCTTCGATTTCGATGATTTTTTAACATGCTGTCAAGGTCATTACCCTGAGTAGCATATTGTTACATTCATTTTAGTTGGGGGTCGCCATTTGTAAAAAAAAAGTTATTATCAAACAAAGTTTAGTATCGTACTTTAGCAGTTTTTATAAGTATAATGACCGATGCCCTTGACATATGTTGCCAAGGTCACCCTCCTGAGTGATATATGTATACCAATTGGAGTTGGTTAGAGACATTTTGTTTTTCTAACTAAAACCTTCACGACACTACTCAGGGTGGATGACATTGACAACAACTTGAACAATCATCGCAATCGGAAGTGGCTCCCTTATTCTAAATATTTACCAAAAAACAGAAACGGTTCGAATCGGCGAGCGTGTCCTGGAGAACGGAAAGGTGCACAGCGGAGATCCGTGATGATTGTGCGATCGTAGTAGTAGCCTCGGTTGAAGAACAAAGAAAAACGCGAAAACAGGAAAATGCCGCGATTCAGCGTCAACGCGAACAAAGGAACGAGCGGTGTCGACGTTGATCGCGATTCCCCTTTTCCCGTACCCTAACACAATAATTCCTATGTTCTATTACGTGCGATCATCCGACCCGATTTACCCGGCAGTGACGGTACGAGGGTATTGTATGTATAACCTCAATTTTCACCGTGTCGTTTGAACATTGTTCGGTTTGCCCTGCCTCTCGCTTTCGCAGGGAGGCAAGAATCGTTATTACAAGCTTCTCTGTTAAAAAGTAAGGCATAACAATATATGTACTACGTGTATTGCTGACATCTGTCCTTGTAGACCACATCCGATCCTCCGCTATTGCTTCTCTCCATCATGGTGTACGATCGCTCGTGAGATCTAGGCGTTGGGGATGGGTCCTTGGATCCTTTGGCGGTCAACAACATTCCTTTGAGAAAATATAATGGTAACCCGATAACATAGTACGATTCTTCTTTGTGCAATTATCGATGATTTCGAGGAAGAGATAGTGTGAGGTCTGGGTCGATTCAGATTTTGTCAGGCATTCTATGAGCATTGGGTTCATTCTCTTCTCATTTTTAACTCTTGGACATCAGTGAAATCTGACCGAAATTAAAAGGAATGCAAATTGTCGATTGTTCCTTTCCTGCATACCTATAGGGTGTATAGTTTGTAATTAAATACAGTTATCAACGCCTGGATCTCACTCGTTGTACATTACACGCGAATAAGGATCACGTTTTCGATACGTACAAACGGTATGTACACAGTGAACGTAAGTACTCGTATCACCGAGACGAAGGCAATGGCCCTTGAACGATTGGCGAACATCCGACCGGACGTTGGAGAACAATTAACGTCCTTATACATCTGTAACACAGTTCAACGATTTGAATAGAAATGCATCATTCGTTCCTATATAAAATCTTCGATCACAGATTTCGTTTGTCGATGATTCACTTTCAATATATATATATGTGTACATTTTTTCCTGTTTTTATTTTCCTTTCTGTTTGTCGGATGATGCTGGAAATCCAGTCATTGGGCACGGTTGTTAATATCGATCATCTACTTGAGTTCTTTCTTTTCCTCGTAGGCAACTCTTCATAAGCTCCAGAGTTTACGTTGCTTCGTCAACACGACTATTCCGATAATTCGCTTCCGTCCAAGGTTGCATGTTGCAGAACAGTTACATAAAAGTAGGTCGGTTCTGTAATCGCGAAGAAGATGACGCGTTCCAACCGAAGAGGTTAAAAATTTATGTAGCTCCATCTTCATTACTGTCTTCACCATCGTAGGTTCAAAGTCCCGCTCGACCGCCGTCTTCAACAACTTCTTCAGGATCCCACTCTTCCTCTTCTATTCTCGCTTTAAGGCCCCACGTGTGGACGTCTCGATTCAAAGCGTTGCTCTGTCCAACACTACACGACTCCCCCGTCCATCCCCCTACTTCTTAAAAATCTACGAAAACAAATTGGTCTAAGTGCGCTAACGACGCGACTGAAGCGTTATTCATGAACATCATGAATAGCTCTCTGGCTGCGTTCCCTAATGATCTCTCCGCCACTGCGGTTTGTTTTACAAGGTACTCTGTCTACCTAAGGCGCCCGCCTCTTTAAGCTAAACCACCCTTCTTCTTCTTCTTCTTCTTCTTCTTCTTCTTCTTCTTGCTTTCCAACGATGGACTTCTCCGGTGCGACTGGGTCCATCCGTGTTCACTTGAACGAGTTCACGATGTCGACGATGCTCACATAGGTGCCGATCACCAAGCCGAGAAGACCGAACACGATCAGACATAGGTTCTTCAGCAGCATGAACATGCACGGGCCGAACTTCCGTTCCGGCCAGAGCACGCAGATCTCGATGATCGCTGGAAATGCGATCCCAAGGGCGGACAGGCAGAGCGCGCCAAACAGGGAGATAAAGAGTCCAAGCCTGGGCACGGCGATGGCCAGCGTGACTGGAGCAAAGAGATAATTATTAGGACACACCGCGAACCTGGTGACAATCGTGGCTTTTTGAGGTGCAATCGTGAAAATTATGGTGAAGTGAAAGAAATTTTCACAAAAACGTCACATCCTGTAAAGTCTTCGAATGTTTCTACCAGTTGGTAATCCAGTGATCAGCAACAGGATGGAAGGAATTGAATGAAAGGGCAGTTATGGTGGGGGAATATCTCTTCCAATGACCTTCAATAACCAACTCGATGCATTATCATTCTAATTTGTCGTTATCGAAGGCAATATAACTACTGTACTCACAAGTTATCAGAGTGATCACTGTTCGACAGACATACTCCCAGAAGATTTTTCCTTTCTGGATCTTGTGGTCCAGGTATGTGTTCCATATGATTTCAACGGGAACGTATCCCTGTAGGGCGTGGGTTATGAAGATCGCGATTGCGAACATAATCTTGATACTCTGCGCCATACTACAAACGAAGGATCATTTCACTTTCAGCACTGAATTCTTACTGTAAGCCGAGTAATCCCTTACATCTGATCCGGGGGTAAATTGAAGGTGACGCTACCGCCAGCCAGGGGTCCATACTTTATGTACCCGAAAAACCCGATGACAATATAGAGAGCGACTATCACCGTCATTCCGATATTCAGGACACCGCAGTATCCTCCGAAATACTGCGGAGTCTTCATATTGTTCTCCAACGCGATTATCTGCAAACGAGAAAACGAAATTTTCCTTCGATATAAATCAAGAAACAACGAGTAATCAATTTAACTCTTTCGAACCTGAATTTTCTGTTAAGAGTACAAAAATATAAACAATTACAGACAGTACATTATACGCAACACCCTGTAGCTGAGGCTTTGGGTAAAATTGTAAGAAACTTCATGTACACAAATATGATCACCAGGTCTGAAAGGGTTAATCGTTTCTATTCTGTTCTTAGATGGGCAAGACTGTAGACTCTATAGTCTTAACATCTAAGAACAGAATACATAGAAACAATGAAATTCTACAGTGTAGGGTTACTACGGTTTTGTTTTTCGTAAGCAAGAAAATAATGAATGATCTTCGAGGATCACTGAGAATCCGATTTCTGAACAGCTGGGAAATAATAAAGCAGGGATCATATTGACGCACAGACAATCCGATGTCAAAGTTGCCCGTAAGTGGTCAGTTATTTGTTTGTTAAACGATCCGACGCGGCGGCCCCGGTTGATCTATTCTAGGCGTGGTCTACTCCGTCAGTCGCAATCGACGAGGCCAAATGATAGATCGATCAGGGAGGGGGGTTATCGCTAAACATCTTAAAATACGCATCTCCATGAACGATATTTGTTCTGAATTGTACCAAACGGAAATATTCCATCTCTTTTGATTCACAAGTCGATCTTACGACATAATTCTTTTTTCTATGTACAGGGTCTTCGTTTTTTCATCGATGATCGTCGACGAATTTTACGAAATATCACGAATATCTTGGAAAATCAAAGTGGACTTTGAAGCTCACAGTGTACACAAAAAATTCTCGTTTTCCAGAGCTGAGCTTTCCAAAGGAAATTAGTTACTGAATCTAAAACCGAAATCTGGACCAACAGGATTCGAAGGGAGGAGGACACGAGTTTTAGAGATCAGCCAGGTGTTCAATACGGTATCGACAGACTCACCACCCCGACAGCTTCCAGGGCGAACAGCGTGGTGCCGAAATACAACGAGAAATTTCGGAATGTACCGAACATCTCCCTCTCGCTGGGCGACGGTAAATCCTCGAACATATACACCAGTATCATCGCGAGACCAACGAACGTGATCACGTTCGCCAGGGTGGAGAACGGCGCGAGCAGCTTCAAATTCCTTATGTAATTGATCAGTATCAACGGCAGCAACAGAATCAGCATGTGGGTTTTAACGTCCAACGGCTCCCAGTACTGGTCCGCCACCTGTCCTCGTCAACAGAACAAAAGATCGAATAGATTTTCTGGTGAATCGTTCGATCGGCAGACCCGTTTCTGAGAAAATCTTCTTTTTTTTCTTTGATAGAGGTTTTATTCTTTTACTATTATTAATTTATATTATCTTTCTATTTTTCTTTTGATTTCTTTCATTTGTCATTTTTGGTTTTTGCTTTTTTCGAGGAGGGGCGAGGGGGAGGGTCGACGAAGAGGATGCTCTCTGGTCGCCTGTTTATTTACCTGCTTTATATTCGACGCTACAAATACGATATAAACGCAGCATATTCCCAATTGATACGTAATCATGAACCCGTCTACGAGTCCTCTGGAAATAATAGCAACCTTTCATGTTACAATTGAAGGAGCGCTTGACGCCGCTGTTGTGAAATGATTTTTGTGCGTGCGTGTGAGAGATAGAGAGTGAAAAAGACAGAGACGGAGAGAAATATACGAAGAGTTTTGTAATACTGTCCACAGTTTTTACTTGTGTTGTCGGCTCGTTGGTCGATTCAATGGAATTGCAGAACAGTTACAGAGTAAACGTACCAATGAATCAACGCTTACAAGATTTTGTAACTATGTATTAAAGTCGAATTTTAAATGACATTAATATTAATAAATATGTGGTACGTGAAAATTAAATGTTGTTCAATATCTATATCTGTTTGTGACGTATAATGAAAAATGTAATTAATTCAATTACAAAATAAGATTATTTGGGAACTCACAGAGAGGTCTACTTTCAAGTGAAATTACCATATCATGGTCAGACCATATTCCACCAAGAGTCAAGACGGTATTCTGAAGCAACTATCTGTCGGTTGCATTGTGCTTGAAACAAAACATTATCGTTGATATCCCAACGAATTGAGAGGGTCCAGCAAGCACGGAATGATAAAGTAAAATAAAAAGAGTACCACCGACAAGGTATAAGAATAGACCTGTCATCTTATGGGAGTTGGTGGCCCACCTAAACTGCAATACCGACACCTTAAACAACAGTCTGTGATTTTAGTGACCCCTACGTTATGAGAACGGTGAACCTACGCAAATCTACGTTGTGGAAACGGTGGGTAGTGATACTAAAATGGAAATGGGTCAACGTTGCCCCAGAAAAATGGACCGTAAAAATACATCGAATGAAATGTCTACTCCTATACCTCTTCGGTGGGAGTACGAATATGTCCGTGTGTTGCGTGTGCCCTTTTGTACCCGTGGGCCACACAGGTGTCACCTCCTTCGTACTTACGGTGCATAGGGCGCGAACCACCTGACACAATCGGGACCTTCCTCGAGAGCGTACTTCATGCTCATCGGGTAACTCAATATAGGAACTCTTAACCGTTTACACAGTTTGTACTGAGCTTTCACTAGTACGTGGAGGCAATAAGTGCATAACACTCCTATGATCACTGTCGCTATCACACCGGTCACGAGTCCACCGTTACAGAACGCGTTCGGCATCGCGAGGATCCCCGTGCCCAAGCTCCCTTTCAGCAGGTGAATCAACGTTTCCGCGTTTCTGAAAAGAAAAAACAAAAACGAGAACATCGTACGTCAGACTTTGCGGATCTTCGTCATCCAGACGATTAACCCGGCCAGTGTTTATGCAAGTAGATCTCTAAATCGTTATTTCGGAATTATGAGACTGACATACAAGGTGAGGCAATAGAAACTGCTATCTAAAATAACTCGAATACATAATGGTTCTAAGAGAATCTGGAATACTCACGAGGTTGGGTTCGGTCTGTTCCGATGTTTATGGGGGTCGTAGTCCTCTGCATTCGTGGTCGGCGATATTGGTACTTCCGACACGTTTAGCCCGCTTCCAGCGATTTCATTGTTAACCCTGCAATCGTGTCAATTCGTAAATGTGACCGGTACTTCCTGAGTTTTCATTCGCGTAGGTGCAAAACTTAAAGCAGAATCGAACGTACTTGTACGGGCTCTCGGAACCGATCAGCTGCATGTTTATCGTCTCCTCCTTTGCGTTCTCCATTTTGTCGCTCCTGAATGAATTCAGAAACAAAGTAATCATGGATATATAGATAGAATCTTTATAAAATTCACCGAATACGCAAGCAAATATCAGGCAATTCTAACAGTATGGAAAAAAATCTCACTGTCACCTTTCACGTGTATCACCTTTCTCAAGGGAAGACATAAAATCTTCCTAAATATTTATAAATATTATACAAGCATTTCTTTCTTTCTGCATGTCGTAACTTTCTGTATACTCTTGTAAATAGATTTGCAATTTTTTGAATGATCGATGAACGAGCACGCCCACAGAACCGAGTTTGAGTCAACTCGAAGAGCGAGACGACGACAATGACGACGACGAACGCATAAAAATGCCAATTCATCGTGTCTCGTGAATCTCGTCTTCGGCACGACACGCGCGTCCCTTTACGCGGGGCTTTGGAGTATTCTTTCGCGAACTGATTGCTCTTAATTATTGCATTGAGGTCAAATGTAGTTAACTTACTGAAGGTCACGCGGCCCGACGGTTCTCACTTCGACGTAGCCAATTGATTCCACGGCTGTTCCGCCGTCCGTGGTACATAGACAGTATGCACACGCGAAAAGGTCTCTGCCGATCGTTGCTTGTTCCTTGATCAGATTCAACGAGAATGACCGTGCACGGCCCTGGGAAGATCTATTGCAACTATTATGTATTATATGTGTCTTCGATGAACATTCGAGGAAAATTGAATCGAGGAACGTTTCGACGTTTCGAAATTTCAGAAATTGGATAGGACACTATTCAACGAAAAAGATTTCTGGTTTCAGGAGCTACTAATGAAATAATACGGAAACGAGGAAATGATTATCCGATTAGCGTGTAAATCACGCGGAACGGAGGCTGGAATGACCGTGTGGACTCGTAGCTTCGATTTGATTGAATAATGATCATCCGTGTATGTTGGTGGTCGGAAGGCGGAAGAAATTTTCCGTTTTCAAAGATGATAACAGCAAACTGTTAATCCGGTATTAGTCTAAGCGTATTACTAATCGGTGGTAGTTGTAGCGGAAACATTATATAAAGTGGATACAATGGATTATTATCTATCGTCTCTAAAAACAACACAATTAGTGTCCGGAAACGTGACAACCTAACACAACTAGCGTGAAATCATTCACGTGGCGAATGGGGGATCCTTGACACGGCCTCGTCTCGCGCGACCGGCTAAATTCGGCGGTCGTTCGTCTATGTCAATGGTGCTTATGTTATCGTACACAAAGGCCCCATTTAAACTCCACGTAACACAATCGCAACACGGGCTGCATAACAATTTAATTTGGTCATTGACATTGCATGTTTGCTGACAGTTAACCCTTTAACTCTCAGTGTTGCACTGGCGCAACGCTCATTTTAAAAGTGCGTTCAATTTTTACTGATGTGAAATAGATCTTCATGTTTTCAGTTAAGAAACTTTTTTCCACTTCAAAATAACAAGATGCAACATATACATATATCAGTCTCATAATTTTAAAATAACGATTTTAGAGTCTGGGCGTTAAAGGGTTAATGTCCATCGGCCAGACCAAACAGCTTCCGGGTTATCGGTTTGAAAAAAAAAACAGTTCTCGAAAACTGATGATACCTCCCCTGTTAATTTGTTCTTACCTGTCCTTACGCTAAAAACGAACAGTTCCCTCTCTTCTTGAAGAAAACGCTGACGGGAGATGATGCTTATCGACTATCTCCTCGGTGGTCGCTGAAACTTCTCCTGTAAAACACGAATAATCATCAGAAAGAATGAACAATAAGTGTATTTAAGTTTCTTTAAAAAATGTGGAAAAATAGGAAATAATAAGTGAATTTGTGTTTCCTCAGCTGTCACCTTGAATACACCGTGCGTGGTAAATTCTGCTCGAACTAATTAGAGGATCGAGTATTGAAATGAAAATTTCCTATGTTTTCTCGAGTTACACTCGCGTAAACAAGGGTGAGTATATACATGTACAACGGACACACGTTTCCTGTCCCAAATACCCCTTGTTATCTGTCATCTCTGACATTTCGGCTGATTCTTCGGGCATTGTCCAAGAAAATCGTTTCTCTAATTATTTCAAGCACGTATATTTTGGCTCCGTTGCCGGATCGTTTCGGCCACTTTCATACTCGAATATCACGTATAAAATTTAAATACACATTATACGATTATCGTATGGCCGACTTTTTCGTTTATCTACTTTTCACAAAGATCTATTTAGTCGAGACGATTACCAACAGAGTAGCCGCAACTTTCTGAAACGGTTGCGATAATATGGCGTCTTCTTCGTACGTTTGATCGTTCACAAATTTTTTCCACGTAAATCGATTCGGTTAAGTTAATACGAACAAAGTAGCGAAGATGTTTAACATAGCGACAATAAGATTATGGCGTCTCTATTACCAACTTGATCGTAGAAAATGTAAAAATTCTTTAAAATACACGTAAGTTATAAATACATACATATGTATATATAAATGTACAAATAATGTTTTATGAAAATCTGTTCTATCTAGTTCACGTGCTAGTGTACGTATAAAGAGAGAAAATTTTCGGGGGCAAAGCGTCAAAATGGCGTCACATATGCCCACTCGAGCCACTCACCATTTAGCCCACGATCGACGCGGCTTAAGTATAGTAATCGATCTCCTAATTCTTACTTCCTCAGGGGGACACACACGTCAAACGGCTAGGAAACCGCTTGCACCCGAAACAATGTCAACGGAGATTATATACATATATACACACATATATTTGCGCGTACGCTAATTTTAGACAGCCAAAAGAATTCTGCCACCTGATGGAAAACCCGTGAAAGCGTAACGGATCGCTAGATTTCCGAATTCTCGAAAATTTCAACTGTTTTGACTAAACAATTCTATAAATTCATTACTTGCATAATTTTACGTTTAATATTCATTAACGGAAAATCAAAATTTCTACATATTTAAGGCTCCGATACTATTATATTAACTAACCAAAGAATAATATAACAATTAATAAAATAAACAATAATTAAAATAAAACTACTTTGTCGCATTTTATACAAAAAAAATGTCTGTGCAACTAGGCAATTTACTTTAAAGAGTTAAGTCAATGATCGAATAAGATGTTATGTATGTATAATGTTTCACGGAAATGGATGCAATAACGAGGAAGATTCTTCTCTCCGCCATTACATAATAAATTAAATATCCCGGTTTTGTTAATTAACTCTATCCTATTTATCCTCGAGAGATTACTAAACGCTATTAAGATCGATGAGGGGACGACTGTTATGCAATAGTTGAACCGTTTGTTCATTCCAATTGGCGTGACATCGTATCGGCGACCTGTTATCCGTCTTCGAACGAATCGTGCCTCATAGTTTCTCGCTCGATGTTTTCATCGCTCGTGCTGCACATGTAACTTGTCCCGCCTCGTATCATTAGCAATAAAACCGTGAATGAATTGAACGAAGAGCTTGCCATTTTTAGATACGACGACGCGGCGTCTCGACGACCAATCGCGACGGCCATCTTTACGCGGATTAAACTCGTTGCAACCTTCTCTACCGATGAAACAGAGTTGAAAAAATTGAAATTCGATAAAATCAATTCAGATTTAATATAGCGTGTTGCGCGATGATTAAAAATTCCTAAGAATACATTCGATAAATTCACAATAAGAAATACTTATTACCTATACAGACACGGTTGCTATATCAAAATACAAGATCTGTACCCTTACACATCTCGATCCCACACTTCACCGAAGTCAAATGCCGCAACCACCTGTCAGATCTACACAGTCTTCGGCTCATCGTCTTCGTACTTCTCAAGCACGAGTGTACTCGGTTCAAGGAACCTTCGAATTTCACACCCGACAGACAACCACTTCGAAGATCGATCGATTCGTGAGAAGGGGGAGAACAGACGACCGCGGTTGACATGAATCCATGATCGACAGCAGAAAAATCTTTTTCTCTGTAAGTATAGAACTTCACCTACTGACACTTGGCCAGTTTACGAGGAGAAAAGGGTAGACTGTGACGAACTACCTATAGTTAAAAACCACCCCATGGTTTCGATTGTGAATAGAGAAAAACTTTCACAAAACCTATAAACATTAGAGGTCACAACCAATCCATGATCGACAACAGAGAAATGTTTTCGGGAACCACGAAAGAGGGTGGTGAAGAGACGAAGTCGGATGAACGCGGGCGCTTGGAAGTGGAAGTTGATTTAACCGTGTCTAGACTTACCAGATTAAGCACATCCGCAACGGAGGGAGGGGGAGGGGGGAGAGAGTGACCGAAATTCCCTCGAGACGGCCGGACGTAACGCGATCTTTTGAGAGGGAACTCTTCGTAACAGTAATGCGACCGCGACAGTGGATGTCTAGCGACTGGGGCGGCGTCGTATGTACCGCGGAATATTTCAATTTCCAACGGGTGACCAGCTCTCTCGTGGATCTGTCACGTGATCCACAGACAACAGAAACTCTACATTACGCCTCCGAAACGTGTATCGAGGGTTTCTTCCTTGCTCGGATGATAATTTCACCGACGGCTTGTCTTTTGTTTGCTCTTTCAATTTGGGGTTTTAATAGAAACATTTCCAAGGACTGCTATAAAAGAGGATGGAGTACGACGGACGATTTGGCGATGTCGAGACGTATAAACAGACATTAGCGTCATGTGCGGAAGGGTCGGTATATCGATTGACCCAAAAATGGAATCGCGACCGTGCGAAGGATCAAACTGAAAGTATAGAAGGTCGCCGTTGCTCAAGGGTGAAAGCTTTAAACGGTATTTAATAAGCACTATGAAATGGCGATATACATGAATTCAATTTTTAACTAACGCTTTCCTAAAAAACTGTACCTTTCAGACCAATTCGAAGATACATCAACGAACAGTGAAAACAATTAATTGTAAGAACTATGTAGCCTCCTGTAACGGTACACAGCCACTCGAAAGTTTTTGACCATCTATAAAACAATGAAACAAAAATAAATTGTTATTTATCTCTAATAGATACATGTACCTACATTATATGTATTAATGCAAAACACTAAAAATCTTAAACACACGTTGGTATCTTTTTATCTCAATTAATACGATCCAAATACTTTTAATAGTATAACCAGCATTTTCAGAAATTCATCGATCTCATAACTGTTTCGAATAAAATACTGAGGGGTTCGCGTGAAGAACAATGGTATAGTTTTCTCGTATCATTTAAGAGTGATAAGTGAAAAATAGTATGTTTCGTATTTTCCCTGTCTCGACGGTGGAAAGATCAACGCATCTGTGAATGATCACCGAGCAAATGATACGGTAAGAGATTGTCATCGCGGCGTTTGTTCGCACAGGTGAAAGAAATCGAGCACACCGTCGCACGCGGATCAGTGAGTAAGTTTAAAAGGGTATGATATCGATCGTGACGCGGCCAAGGGGTAACACGGTTGCATGAAACGGAACGATTCCCATCAAAATATCAGTCATCCCTTAAAAAGCAATTTCGAACGTAAACCGTCGACAAGACTGGTGAAATCGTTTTTTTTTTTTTTAAATTCAATTAATCCTCAACAGAGAATTACATTTAATAACAGCGTGAGCTTCCAATGTTGAACCTAACTCTTTACACGTTCTTTTAAACAAATCAATGAACTTATTATTCCACCCTACTGTACATGTCCATAGTGCATAATAAAATATGCTCCTATTATCCCACCAATCCCTCTTATATGTATATTAATAGTAAATTGGAACTCCTAAATGTCACTTAAAGGTCGATCGAACAGACGACCCAGAAACTGTTTTGAGCGGATCATCGATAATTGAAGTTATGATAATTTGAAAATACAAAAAGTCGAACGTCAACAATCCTCAAAGAACATTTATTCCATGTAAAATTTTTGAAAGAAACTTATTTAAGAAACTGTTTTCTTAATATAATCCGCATTGATCTGCCCATTGTACATTCCATCATCCCCTAGTTCCATGAGCATGTCGGAAGAAATACCAACAATAATTCCTATTCGCCCAATCACCTATTAAAAACAAGAGAAACAGAACCAAATCCACCAAAAACCGTTGCTCTGCAATCGAGAACCGCTCGATAGCCCTCCAGCGTTACATAACCGCGTCAGCGTATCAACACAAAACGCCAAAAAGCAAAACAGAAGACAAGAGTCCATCCGTCAGCTGCATTCCTCCACCGAAGAACGACACATCAAAACGAGCCTTAAAAACAATACGTACTCGACACACCGAGCCCCATATACATATGTGAACAATTTCATTCCTAAAATCCTGAAAGGGTGGCGCAACGTCAACGTAGCTCCGAGAGCTCCAGATAGGGATGTTCGATTCTAATTCGATTCTCCTGGGTAACACACGTCACTGTCATATACATATATAAGAAATACACCACCAGGCAAAAGTATAGGATGAGAGTTCACGGATTGACGGAAGAGTAACTCATTACATTCTGTTACTATAAAATAAACAGTTATGGAATCAGTAGAAATATTATACAAATCACTTCTCATCAATTTCAACACGTCACCGTTCATTACCTCATTGTAGAATAATATTTTCCTTTCTTTAATTACCAGACCTGGTCCCATATACTTTTGGTCGTTAGTGTACGTGGTACGCATGGTGGTGATGTGTTACCCAAAAGAATCAAATCCGAATTGAACATCCCTAGCCTAGCCCCAGGTCTCCCGGATCCATTTACAGTGTCGTACCGTGGATATCTATGTGTGTGTGTATGTATATCCGTTCGGTGCAACGACGGTCGGTACACGGTGAACTTGCTACACACGTTTTCACTGACGATCAAACAGGACGGACGCGCGGACAGGGAGAGGCCCCTCTAGGCTACAGCTAAACCGCCGTGGAATGGACGCAGTGGTGCTGGACGACGGCGTGTGCCTGAACGCACACACACACACACACGGACGAAGCTACTGTGCACGACATGAGGGTCGCGTGCACACGTGCGACTGAAGCTGCGTGAACCGCGCTCGCGAGACACTGTGTCTAACCTCTGTCCGCGCTCGCGGGGGAGGGTGCGCGCGCGGTTCTCGAATCGCGTTATCTACAATGCGGGGGCAGCCACCCCGGCTGTGGCCGATCCATAAGCCCGTAAGAACCGGCGACATCTCATGGCGTGCGCGGGAAAAACTCTATCTATGTGCTTTCACCACTCTCTCTCCACCGGTGATTCGAAAGCGAATTTAGAGGATAGAGAGGGTGGATGATTGCTTCACCTCCATTTCGCTTTAAACTACCCTATCGCCCATAGTTGGAACAACAGTTGACTGGACTCGGCTGAATGCTACTATACCTCAAGTTCAATGAGACGTGTCAGTAACTATAATGGAAAATTTCTGTGATGCCCTCCTTCTCTTGATACCCTAAGCATGTGCTTATTTTGCATGTCTGACTTGTCTCGTTGTTCGGGGAATAGGTAGCTACGTCCACTTCGCGTTCATTAAACAGTCGATTGTATACAGACTGTATTGTATAGGACAGGTACAGTTGAAGTAACGTGAAACCGTTACAGACGATCGCTGAAAGTTGTGGCTCTTCGTCCATACAGGGGTGAACAGTCAACTGCGACTACGACTATTAGGAGACTATAGTCTTTTTCTCTTCGTATACGGTCTAGTGATCTTGTCGATATAATTGTAATATAAATTTCTTGCCTCTGGCGGTCACTGATGGTACTAACCTTGTTCCTGCGATTCGGTAGTCTGCATTCCTTGAAAAGACTTTAGGTGACCTACCGCTGTAGTTGGATTAACATTAAACATCATCTTCGTCGCCAGTGAAAGAGTTAAAAATATGTTGGACGTTAATATTGATGGAATGCTTTGTTCACGGAAACCAGCAGGATCTCGGGATTTCGGGATTCAAATGTTCAAGATTGTCTTGTCTCTGAAGGTCACTGAGGGTACTAACCGTGTTCCTGCGGTGGGAAGTAAAGTAAACGAAATTATTAAAGGAATCGGTAGTCCGATTCACTTGAAAAAAACCTTAAATGCACCTACCACCTGTGCAATTGTTACGACAATCTTCTTCGGTTGCCCATGAAAGCGTTAAAAATGGTGTGCGTTGATGTTGATGGAATGCTCTGCTGTACACGGGAACCAACAGGATCTGAGGATCTCGGGATTCAAGATGTTCAGGATGTTGTCGTGTACGGCGTATCCTATTAAAACACTGAACAGATCGTTTTATTAAAATGAACATAATGGCGATTCGTACTAGCTATCCTTAAAATCGAGGTGGTTGCGAGTGTCAATCCTTTGTCCACGGGTAACCTGATCACTTGGTAAAACGTGTGTACGTGTGTATGTATAATAGACTACGATAGGACAAACGAATACCCTGCGTTCTACAGGAAATGATGTTACATGACAGCCTTACAATTAGATATAAATAAGTGAACCGGAAACAACGCGTCTTGAATACGCGGTTCCCGCAATTGAACTACAGCCGCTGTACTATTTCTTCAACATCGACAAACTCTATATCTCTTCTCCTACTCTCGAAATCTTGCTTCTAATCTCTCTCGCAGGCTAATCTCATCGTCCGCGGTTCAAACACGCGGCGGGCTATGTAAAGAAAATAAAAAAAAACAAAACAGTTCCTGGTCAACAGGCGAACTTGATCCGGTTGAAAGCAGCATATAGCGTGTTCACCGATCGCGACACGCCAGGCGTCCAATTTCATTTCCATTCCGTAACGAGACCGTTTAGTTAGTCTCGTATGACGTGGTCGTATTTATAAAATACGTCTCTCTAAGAGGGAGGAGGGTTCCTCGGTCTGAACTCTTTCTTGGATCGTTCGATGCTCGTTTTAAGGTGTGCGAAACGAAACTCCACGTATGCCCCCGTTCCTCCATTAACGGGGAACAACGCAGCGAAACTTTCTGTCCATCTATTCCCCTTTCTCTCCTCTTTTATTCCCCCGCCGTTCATTCTCTCATGGTCTTCTCGTTCTTCTCCGAAGAACCCGCTTCAAGAGAAGCTGTGGATGATGTCACGAAGACTCGTGTACGTTCCTATCACCAGACCGAGAAGCCCGAACAGAACCAGAGACATGTTCTTCGCCACCATCAGTATCCTCTCGGTGCGACCGTACACGCTCCAGAATGTGCAGGTCTGAATGATAGCGGGGAACGCGAGCCCCAGACCGGAGAGGCACAGGGCACCGAACAGGGATATGAACAAGTCCAACTGAGGAATCGCTATGGCCAGCAAGACTGAAAAAAAAAACATTCAAACGGATAAGAAACATTCGCAATACAGGAGAGTCTGAATACGGAAAGATATGTATACAGGGTGTCGCAACATGCATATTCCTTGTGCAAATACAAATCGAAAAGTTTTTTACCGTTTTGTAATCTGAAGCTCCACTTGATTCGAGTTCGTTCAACTGCTAATATATCGGAAAAGGAAACGATAAAGGACTTTTCGACTTGTATTTGCGAGAGGAACATTAATGTTGTGGCTCGTCCCATCATTTTGGGGCACTTTGTGATACAAGAAGAGCAGAGAGGGATACGTGTTGCGAAATATACTCTTTTTAAGAAATATTGGGACACGTTGTTACTGAAGAGAATCTGATCGTTTCTGAGCAAATTATAATCATCTTACAGGTAAGGAGAACAAGGGCGGTCCTCACGACGTATTCCCACAAGAGTTTGTGAGAGTTTTTCTCCAAGTTTGGCGCGATATAGTCGTTCCAGGTGATGTCGATGGCCACGTAACACTGAATGGGATGCGTGAAAAATATCGCGATAGCCAGTAAGATCTGCACGCTCTTTGCCAAGAGCATCGGCTCGTTCAAGCTGAGCGTGATGCTTCCCTCAACCGTACTACCATAACGAATGTATCCAAAGAATCCCAGAGCAGTGTAGATTGTCACAATGGTGCCCATTCCTATGTTCAGAACACCGAAGGTCTTAATGAACGACTTCGGTTTCTTCATCTCGTTCTCCAGAGGCATGATCTAGAATCGGACGATGTTAGAGTTTTATTGTAGGTACACGGTAAGGTATTGTAATAAGCTGGGCTCTAAGATCAAATCTGTGACCGTGTAGGAGTACTTACCACGCCGATCGCCTCCAGAGCAAAGAGTACGGTGCCAAAGTACAGCGGAAAGTCCTCCACTTTGCCGATCGGCTCGCGATTCTCGAACGACAACGGCTCTCTGAAGATGTAATACAATATTATGCCGAAACTGGCGAACGTGATGCCGTTCGCGATGGTCGAGCACGGGGCCAGGAACTTGAGATTTCTAATCCAATTGACCAGGATCAGTGGCACTAGGATCGCCAGCATGTACAGCCTCAGATCGGCGTCCGGAAAGTAGGAGGACAGAGCCTGGAAAAACGAGACGGGAACAGCGATTTTATTATTCGTCCAATATCATTCTCATGATCTCGGTTAACCACTCAAGTGTTTTATTTCACTTTGAAAATATACACACTTGCGTGCTTAATTATTTTTAAGCTATGTCGAGTACAATCGACAAAACCAGAGTAAATGCATTTGCTGTAAAGTTGGAATGAATTCTAATAAAATGGCAAAATTACTCTTGCGACTTGAGCGCCATTTATTGTGAAAAACTCACAAAAAAATCGGGGATTGTTTTCAGGAGATCTCGCTCGACGTGTCTACAGACGTCAGAGATGGGCAACTTTATTAAGTATCTAAAAAGTTTCGAATAACGCATAAAAAAGTACTTCGTCAACTGTTCATTGATTAAATGTGGAAATTCCTGACCGAATGGACACTTCGCTAACAAATAATTTAACCACGCATTATTCGAATAAAATTCTGCCCAACTCTGGTCTACGTACCTACCTCCGATCTCCCGTTATCGAACCCGTTTGTAGCACGCGTGATCGAGACCGAAACATCACCCCCGTTTTTCCCACGCGACCAATCGATCCATTCTTCGGAACGATCTGGAATCATAACCACGCAAGAGTTTGGGGTGCATGACTCATCCTCGCCGATCAGACTTCGTCGAGGATCGAAAGAACGCATCGGAGGAATCCTGGACTTCCGAACCGCACGTTCGATCGTCGCAAGCTGGTTCAGAACGGTGAGAATCGGCAAAAATTTCGAGATTTACCTTGCATCATTCTAATTCAGGGGTTGAAGAGAGGAATATACTCGTGACTTCTAAGCACGGCACCAAAACGTAACTTATTATATTTATTAACAATCGAGCTTCACTTGTTTTCAGGTAAACATGTACTCGGTATACCACAAGTAATTTCGTAATTGTCCTTTGAGCTTCTTCCACATTTGAGAAAACACCCTAACACTCATAAACGGAATGAATAAATAGAATGCGTTCGGACTCCAATCACCAGAGTCATCGGGTTTCCATCGCAACGATTCACTTTCTATCGCCTATCTCCTCACAATAAATCTCCCGTTATCGTCTCCATGCAAATTACCCGGTTGTTCGATGGTGAACGTCATAATAGCTGAGCGCAATCGTTATCGGAGATCGTCGATATCGGTGGATTCAAGGGCGACAGGAAACGCGGAGCCGTTCAACGCGTACACGTACGTATGTATACACATATGTATACGTATGCCATTCGCGACGCAACGTCTCGTTGTGCACAGCCCCTTACGTAAACTGCCGACGCAACCGGTCACGCGGGCATTTCTTCGCGGCCCGATTTCGCTCGAATTGAATTTCTCTGTGTTTCGCGGACGAGTGTGTTCCTTCTTCGCCTCGCCTCGATTGCGTGATCGAACGATCAAACAACGTCTGTTTTATATAATAATAGAACTGCAGATTTTGTACGTTTACATTGTGTAACCGGGTGAAACACGGTGTAGAGTGGACAATCAACTTGATTATAATTCCTTAATCATTTATCCGCTGAAAGTACAGAGCGAACCGATAAGTATTCAAAATTTTAACCGTCAACTACAGACAACTCGTCTCGGGGACGAATAGTAACACTTTCAATAACCGAATTGAGTAATATCTCTTCGTTATTGTTTCGAAAATAGATGATGATAATAAAAGAAAAATTCAAATTCGTCTCTGGGACAAATAGTCCCTGTAGTAACGGCGCCTTCGAACGATTGATCATTGAATGAAAAATAAATTCTTTTCTTTTTCTAATTCTACGATTTTCTATACAAGCAAATGTAAATTGCCATTTTTACCTTTTTGCAACGCGTGTACCCGTAGCAGCTTGCAGAACCGTTTAAGCACCCGCATTGCATTACCGTGTCGAGTGCCGACCACGTGCGATGCCACGATTTCGTTAATTGCTCCGCGTAGAACACGGATCACGTAATGGGTTTCGATCAATGCAATTCCATCGGTATTATGCTGATTAAACGTTGCCCGCGGTTGGATCATCGACAACGGGTCTGTACGGAAGGTACGCTGCGATTTATGTAACTATGTCAAACGAGAACGGCTGCCGTATCCTTGCGTTCGACATATTCTTGTTGCGAGTGACACTGAACGTGGGAATATCTGAATCATATGCATGTTTTGGAATGCATCATCGTACAATTCAGGTGGTAGTAGTAACACGTTTAGTGTTCAATGGAATATTATGTTGCAGGGCTTATGAATCTAAGAGTAACTGACGATATCATTCGTCGCCCGTAATGTTATATTAGACGTGATATCTTATTGGACGTAATATCTCGTCAAGCGTAATTATCAGATACAACGGTACACCGGACACTATCCATCCAGCGCGATACTTATGGACCCGCTTGAGGCGTGCCTTTTTTCCGATCCAGCTCTCCGATCGTGATCGAATAGATTACATAGAAATCGATACAGATTATGGAGTGTCTATGTGTGTGAGTGTATAGAATTTAACTTCACTGCAGTTTTTTTCGAGTAAATCCTACATCACCGCAAGACCGGTCGTGTGTCGTGTCCCGATTGTTCACGTGCACGTCTCGGTCGCCGGAAAAAATTCTCGATCGCTTTCAACCTTTTTTCACGTCCGACAGCAAAACTACACCTAATATTCCCATTATAGCCGGATCGACCCGATTCTAATCGGCGTGCCACACGTGTTATGCAACAAATCGAAATATCACATTAGCCGCTTGTGAATTCCTTCTGCCTTTTTTTTTTCTTTCATTTTGCCGTTGAAAATTACATACAACCGGGAGACTAATCAACCCTCAATCGCCCGGGGTATATGTATACCTGGATGTGTGTAATCGGACAAATTGAACAACTTGCGACATTACCGCGATACCAGTGCTACTTGCCTGCCTGTTATCGCATTTCTATTCGATTATTTTATACAACACTAAACTGTGCTGTATCCCACTCTCAACGTGCATCGTGCGATTTATCGATTGAATGTACAGAAGATCGGATTATCGAACGTCTCGATAGATCTTTTGTTTCTTTCTAAATTGATACTAGCAAGAATTACAGTATACAGTGATTTGCTCGATCGATCGCGAGATCTCTAATATTTACCATAAACCGGTTCCAATCTCATATTTTCTTGCCAACAATTATAACCAGACTGTCTAGAGTTCACGACTATCCAACGCTCGGTACAGTGAAATACGTGATAAAGTTATATGAATGTTTTACATATATAAATAAATATCTGCACTCGCCGCAAACATTCTCGGTTGAACAGTTAACCCTGCTTAGTCGTATAATTTTACTCGCTTCGGTTTCTACCTCGTTCCACAAAATAAAATTGCCTCGGTCATCGGGTCTATCGAAATAAAAATCCGTCTTTTTTTCTTCTGTTTCCACGTCGAATCGAACAAGTAATTCGTCTGCCTCCAAATGCGTCGTCGATTAATCAAAAACAGTCCGGAGGGGGCTCTATGGTTCATGATCCGCGCATAAAAGTTACGCTCGAGAGGATCGGCACGGTGGTCTTTCACGCGCGACGGGAATCGGATTTTTCGCGAACGTTGCCCGTTGCATCGACATTCTATCCGCTTGACGTAATAACACACACGTGTCGTAACCACCGCCGTCGTTAACTATCCATTACATTGCGTGTGGTATATACGCAACACGCGGGTTCTAGTCCCCTGGCTAAACCGATACACGGTCCCTCTTTGTCCGATCAGCGGAGCGGGTTGCCGCTGTCGCGGGAACATTCCTTCAGCGGGTAATTATCGCGTAACTCCCCTTGGAGCTACCAAGCTTCGCCTGTTGTTCGAGTGGATTTAGTGATTATCTTCTTTATGCGTCCTCTAATTACGTTAGAGTGCTCGAAAGTTTGAGATCCTAAAAATCGCACTACATTCAAGTTCCTTTAAACGTTACGAATACATAATATACTGTTATTTCCATAAGTTAGACGACTATTAAAAGTATTTTCAAATGATACACATAATAGCCTCGACGACTGATATTCAACGAGAGCGAACGATGGATTGTATCGAACTCGAGGAAAACTAATCGTTCTACTAGTCTACAGTGTAACCCGGTCAGCTGTTCGATTAGCGGACCAAGTCTTTAAAGAGGTTAATGAACCACGAGGAATAAACCAAAACGTGATCGGAATCGATCTCATGATTGCACACAAGGCACCAATGTGATACAACAGGAGCCGATTAGAAACGACCTCTCCACGCTGGATTTATGACACGTCGGGGGCCTGGTCCTTCCATCATCATCATTCTACGATTCCCAAGCGTCACATATACTGAATCCTCAAGTACCCCGAGGAAGTACCTGTATACACGATTCATAGAATGTAAAATCCACCGTGTAACCAAGATGAGTAATACTATTTGGATCTCTTCTGACTAATCGGCAATCTCACTATGGTCCTCCAGTTTCTTTTGACCTGATTTATACTCTCGCTTCTTGAAAGCCTTCTTTCAAAGACTATGTTAAATCTAGAAGGTTATGCGTTAGTCCTTATTATTCTATTTCGATTTCTTTTGACCTATCGACTATCTGCGTACTTGAATCTTAAAGGTTATATTAATTCCTAATCCCATTCCGATCCAGTTTGTTTCTGTTGTTCTGGCTGTAAGAGCTATGAGAAAAATGTTCCCTCGAGTAGGAAATATATACTTTGTCACTTGTTCCTCAGCATTATATAAAACGTACACCTGAACCGACAGGGCCGTAGCAGGGGTCGAGCAGTAGTTCGCCTTCGGCCGCCGTGACTCAGGTGATCTTCGAAAGGACGATCTATCTATAAACGACTCGAAGAACTTCAGAAGGACGATCGAAACTACAGACAACGGATAGGATCGATCTGACGTTCACTTTCCATCCAGGACCGGTGATCGGTGAGGAACGGTTATACGGTAGAAAACGGAGTCCCCGAGGAAGCTATACATATGTAGATCGTTCACGGCCAGACTTAACATTCATCGTGCAACGGGTACCGTCGGAGTTTCCTGATCGCGGTGGCAACAACCGAACACGGTTCGTGTCCTCGCGGATAAAAGCCTCGAAAAATGGCCAGACACATCATCCTCTGCGTCGCGAGATGTCAACGAACTGTGTGTCCGTGCACACACATTATCACCTTGACTCCGACGCTCATTACATCCGTCTAATCGTTTATTCCTCGCGACGTGTTTCCCTGACCTACATGCTTCTGTTTTTCTCTGTCTCTATGTATGTGTCTGTCTGCCCACACGATTTCAGGCCGCAGCTGGAGTGTATGGTGTGTGTGTGTGTGTAACTCTTTACGGTAAAAGCTAGATTAAAGCGGGTAACATGAGTGCTCAGAAGCCTGTTGCCTCTTCTAGTCTGTGTGGCCTATTCAGAGAAGAGGTTGGCTGACGAACTGACGTAGATCATCGGAGATGACGCGGTTTCTAACATCTGTGTGTCTGCGAGATTCGATTACAATGAACGTGTTTACTTAGCGATCTAGTGGATCATTTATATACTAAATGCTTGTTATATTACTTTCACAATTTTCGTATGTGATTATTTTGTTCCGTAGATGAATGATTAATTTAAAAAGAATTACACTAACCGTTTTCAAATTCGTGCCGATGAACACAGTGTACACGCAGCAACTTCCCATCTGATATATCATGAGGAACACGTTTATGATGTGACTGTGAACAAAATATAATTTCATTGGACAAGCACTCGGGGATGTTTCTTATTATGCATGGGGTACTATTTGACTGCATTCAATATATTATTCCAAAAACGCTGTCAATATTTAATACACGTTAAAACTCTCTATGACAATCCCTGTATCAACGCATGGAACAACCTAATGTATTTTCTTCTTGTAACATACTCTAAACTGTAATCGCTAGACCAGAAATTTTATGCACTCGCAGTGCATCTGGAATATGTAAATTATAATAAGTTAGAAACTTTTATGATAATAATGTATTACAACATATGTAGCTATTAATTTTGAAAATGCATATCTATGTGTGTAGCTCTTGTTTTCATAAATTTGACCCATAAACCTATGAGTTTCCGTGGACGTACGGGATCTAAATAGTAATTATACAGTGACATATATCGTTTACATAGTGTTATCACTTCTACATAATCAAATTATTTATCAAAATGCGAATTTTATTTCAAACTAGAGGTACCTTATCACAAAAGGATGATAGAAGTAATGATAAAGGGAATATGCAAATAGAAATTGCATAAAAGTCTCGCCACCCAATTGTTATTTCAAAAAAAAATCTCAACAAATATTGTGAGTCACTGTGTCTGTTTCTATTGTATAAAATCACGTTTGTAAGCTGATGCACTTACACGGAAGCCCTCGAGAACCGCCTTAACGGCGCCGGACCCTCGGACAACGCGGCCTCCGCTGTCGCTGGGTACGACATCGACGGGACTTTCTTCCGTTTGGACAGCTCGTGCTGCGAGTTGACGAGTATCCGCATACAGTAAGTACAGAGCAGACCAATGATGATCGTCGCCACGGCGCCCACAGCGTATCCGGCATGATGGAAGGCCTTCGGCATCGCCAGTATACCTGTTCCCAAGCTACCCTTCAAGAGATGAAGCAACGTCTCGAAGCTCCTGAAACAACGAAATCGTATTAATTTTATTAGCTTTGGGACAGTTATCGTAAAGGGTATATTAATCTCGGAACTGCGCCTGGGTAGCCTCGCCTTAAAGTGTTGGTCGTTCGACGCTATAAAAATACAGCCGAACACCACGTTAACGCGTTTTTTCCACCGTTTCTTTAATAATCCAAGAACAGGGCCATATGATATCTCTGCTCTTGGAAGCAGTTTCACGGAGGACAATCTTACTCTTCCGCTTCATGACTAATCGCTCCAGTAAATTACCGGGTAATTTGTATCTAGAGAAACGCGGCCAGAATAAACGATATACGCCGCCGTTTCGCATGCGTACAACAGGCCTTCGGGTACGTATGTACATGTATTATGCAAACGTTCCCCGCGTGATTCCGTGATCTCAGGTGTACGTACACGTATCGATTCGCGGTTACCATTCGTTTTCCGTATCTTTTAGGCGGAAGACAAAATGTACAACGGCGGATACAACCTAGAGTTTATCTAGAGTACGTTCCTAATTGGCAGTGTCATCTAACGAGGGAGGAGACAGGGCCGTTCCTGGCGAGGGTGCAAAAGGTGCCCCAGCACCTGGCCGGCCAAACCCAGGGATGGCCGCGGGTCGTTTATTATATGTAAAATGTTAGATAGCAAGAATAATAATCAAATAATATAAAATAATATTAAATTAATAGGGACGGCCGGTACGGTCTTTGCACCCGAACGGCCAACAGCCCAGGAACGGCCTTGGGAGGAGAATAACTGACTACTACTACTCGTGGCAGATGAAAGACTTGTCGCTCACGTGGTTGGATGCTCGACCACTCTATGATCATACGGATTGTACTCTTCCTCGTACTCCTGCACGGTCTTCTTCTTCTCTTCGAGCTCCAGGACGTAAACGTTCGAACGGTTGTTGTGGGCTGGATCGTAGCTGAAGAGAAATTCGATTCTTGTTATTAACACTTTCCTGGCTGAGAGGGTTGTTTTGTTTGCAAATACACAACTTCAGGTGTTCTAAAAATTATATAGGAACTACTATCTGGATAGTATTTCTTATTGAGTCACTCTATTATATGTATGCACAGAGTGTGTATTACGAACACCTTAATTGTGTTCAACTCCTACTGATCAGACGAAATAATGACTATAAATGGGGGTTACAGGAAAAGGTCTACTGCGAACTTTTCGAACCATGGACTTTCCTTTCAGTTGTTTTTTTTCTTTTTTTTTTTTTTTTTTCGTATCTTCAGTAACCGTGGAAGGATTTCAAGTGTGTGTAATTTGTGAGACGTTGATTATATTCAGATGTACCTACCCATTGTGACTGTTCTTCGACGAAGCGGTCCACTTTTTGGCGTCGAGTCCATCCTGAAAGAAGAAGAAGAAAATGCGTTTAGGAGTCCAGTTTGTGCTTGGTATACAATTATTATTGTCAACACACTTCTTTAGACGCATTGATAGTTAACAAATGAGTCAGAATGTTGTAGGATGAATGATTTAAATTAGTAAGTGTCTATTGGAGGAAATTCAATGCTGATATCGAATATTCTATCGGGAAAACTCATAAAAGAATCGTAACATAAAAAGGAAATTCACAATCATATTCATTCTCTACTTCGTCGACCAATAACTCCCACACGTCAAGAGATTCTCATCAATTATTCACCCGCGTTTATTCAATTGAACCTGTTAAAATCGAAGTTACAAAACAATAGCGATGATAAACATCGTCTCTATAATTCATCAAATCCTCCGAGGCACGTACGCACACCAAGTGAGACAGGTAGCCACCAATCATCCCAATCATCGACGCCCATCAATAATCCCCCCATTTACATTCGCGAACAACCCAAGTGAGAATCTCACGTTTCTCGCGCCGTTCATTACGTCCAATTAGGATTCACCACGGCCATTCTCTCAGTCTCTGATCGACGCAATCGAAGGTGTATACATATGATGTATACACGAATTAATACACCGCGGTAACAACCGACGATTAATTACGCCGCCTGTCCACAGTTAACACACACGCTTTGTTGATAAAAATCAAGCGAATCAGGCTCCTCGGTATTGTATGGCTGTGACGTAAACACGCATTAGGCCGCGAATCACGATTGGAAAACTCTTTGTCGACGGTAATTCACGGCCGAAGATGAATGGGACGTTGCGGAACGCAGACCGGAAGATGCGAACAAAACGGAGATTAAAGATAGGAGTGTACTTTTCGTGTGTAAAGGATGTGTGGAAGCATACCTGAACCCCAGAGAGTATATTAAATCTAGTTATTTTTTTATTTTAGAAAAAGGTTAGAAGTTTTGTAATGTGTAATGTACATCAATTACAAAAGTACAAGAGAATTAAAACAATCGTTTTCCGTTCATCAGGGATCAAAATAGCAACGCGTATCTTGTTCCGCGTGAAACAGTGTAAAGTCCAAATCACATAGGGGACTTAACGCAGTGTTCACAGTTTCGATGTACATATCTTCGAATATCATTGAAAATATTCATTTTGTTATCGTGTAAAACAGTTCGATGACTGTGATTTCCGATGAGTCACCGGTGACCCGACCATAGGCACGAGAGGATTAATACACTCTGGTTGCAAGTCCACGAAAAATCTATACACCTTCCATAAACATCCGCAGTCCACTCGTCATCGATCGAGATCTCTCCCCGCTCTGTCCGGATCGATCAATCATTATTGACGGCCAATTACAGATCTCCGACTATCCGGGGCTGTGCCTTGTTATTACGACACACCGCTGTTAATCCAGCTGGTGAAACTATTACGAAAGATTCGCCCGTTCAGCTGGTGAGCTCATTCACGCAAATATTTCCCGATCGGAGCAGCTGCCCCGCGGATGGATCCAAATGGGATTTTCCGTTTACACGGGCCGATCGATCGACGTGACGCCGCGAACGGTCGTAAAACCGGGTGTAAGAATCGTTTTAACACGTGATCAGGAACAACGACGACGACGACGATTATCGGTGCATCAACGATCCACGCGTGGCTCCTGCGATCCGAACAACAGCTAGATCAGACGATACGGTTTTGTTCACCGATTAAGTCATTTTGCCGAATCGATTAAATAAAAACCTAACTTATCCTCACCTAACTTAGCCCCCACCACAATCCAAATAAGAATCGAACAAATGAAAAGCAAACGAAGAAACATGGGTTATTTAACAGGTACAAACTTTTGAGTTTTTTAACCTTAGAGGAACTTGAGTTTTTTTTAGATATTTTAACGTTCGTGACGAGAGTTGATTCGTCTTGCAATCTAGAATGTGAATCATGAAATATCAAGATCAACTGAGACAGAATTCGAATATGTATTTAGGGAATTATTAGTTACGTTAATATACGATATCATAGAATTCTGAAGGATCACGTATTTCCAAGGATGGTTTAACAGCGAATGTATAGAGAAAATTCGCGGAGGAACCGAGCAAAGGATCGGAAACTGGTCTGTCAGGTGGATGGTACAGTCGCATCACTGGATGATTCATTCAGAGATAGCTCCGCGTGTCTGATCAGTCACGACTCCATCCACTACCGATCCGACGAACCGTGTGGACCGATCGAGTGATGCATATGTATACCGGGGGTAACTAAGGAACACGGTACAAACGGTACGAGTAAACGATTATTTAAAATATATGTCCGAGACGTTGTCAATCGTCACTCTCTTTTATAACCTCTGAGTATTAAATCACTGTAATTACTATTAATTACACATCTATGACAGCGTAAATCTCATTTTTCTTTTTTTCTTTAGAAATTTATCGTTTCACGAAGTACACGACTTTAATAACAACGGAATTGCATTATTCACACGACGGGGGGAGGATCGATTAAATATCGTTTGTCGGCGATGACGCTCCGACCATCACAGAGGAATTCTGAACGAATCGAGCCCCGTGATCGAAACGCCTGCAACGACAGAATAAATCATCGCCCGTTTTCTAAGAACAGGAGGATAATATTTCACGACCGTATGTACCTACATATCGAGCACGACCAGTACCGTGCACGGTATAATTGAATTTACGTTACGCGATCGCTAATTAACGAATCCCAATGACGCGTCATTGAGACGCGTTAATCATCCTACACACGAATTAAATTATACACCGTCGCTCTAGTTCTTAATCGTTCTACGCCCAATAGTTTCTAAACTGAGAAAACTGACAATTTAAAGTTTACGAAGTTTCACATTATACATAGATAGAAGCAGGAAAGTAGCGAAACAATCCAACACACTATTATAATATCATCTACTGAATATAGCTATTTGTTTATCGTATTATCAACATAAATTTTGAATTCTTATTAGTATTTCGAGACACAACCGTTAGTTAAGAAAAAAAAGCTTTCAATGTTTCGGAGCTACAGAATAATAATGAAATTATTATGAAATTATAACCACATTTTGGTATGTTGGCAACAGTATTTTGTTTAATGAATGTGCATACAGCAAGACTTCAAGTTCCTTTCACCGTGAAAGAAACAAGAAAAACAATTTTCTCGAAGCTGCTAATCGAATTATTTGATTAAGAAACGATACCGATCTCGCGACTCTCGACACATCCTGCGAACAAGATTGAAAATACGTTTATCGGTACTCCCCGGTTTTGATACTTCGAAAGGTTAATATTTTCGCAAAAGGAAATCGGTAATTACGACATACACGGTAACAAACGCGAGACGATCGATAACGGGACTGTTTGCAAATTATTAAATCAACTCCCGATATACCTACATATTACCGACTAAACACTCTCGTTAATCTGATTTATAGCGGTTTCGTTTGTTCTTCCCGTCCGAAACTCCAGACAGTCGGATACCGAACAACATGTATGTATACATACATATGTACGGTATACGTATACCCAAGAAGAGAGAGAGAGAGAGAGAGAGAGACTACATAGTTTATAATCTTACAATTTACAATTATCGTAAAAGATTGAAATAAGAGTCCTCGTTGGAAATTGTCGATTGCCTGTCTTATCTTCGAATCAGCTACCAGCTATTTAAGATCACCGCCAGTACACCGCGAATCATTTGAAAGGGATTCCGTGGTAATCCTGTATAATAATTTGGATTAAAACTCGATCGATCTACCATCGTATTTTATGACTAAACCTTGGACGATACGACTACACCACTCGAAAATTTAAGCAGTCGTTAAGCTCTTAAACCCTCCTTCTTGAGCGCAAGTCATCGTAATCAGCGCGACGAAATCATTTCGTACCGAAAGTTGCAAATGAATGAATGACGTTCAAGAATGAAGTTCAAGCCACGATATCGGCATAAATTCGACAGGCATTACCTTTTTTTACATAAAACAACCACCGGAAACTCGAGCCAATTTTAGGAATAACAGGTTTCTCGAAGGTATCATCTATTGATATTCTGGTAGCACTAGGCTTCCTCGGATGACCCGCCGAGAATCTCGAGAACTCCGTCAGAAAGAGGAAAATCTGAAGAAACTGGGTAACCAAAAGGTGATCCAAAGAAACTTCCAATAATCTTAAGCCTCCACGAACGCGAAACCATCGGGGATCACCGCAAAAATCACGGAACACCGCGATCGTTTCCACAAAAACATTCAATTTCTAGTGACATCACATCATGAAGACGTGTTAGTCCACGCGGAGACGTGTCGCTTCGGACGAAAATATCGTGCACGAAAGTGACGTCGTGTTTCAGGTTTAACGAGATTAGCCAGAAACACGAGAGGAGGACACCAGCAATTTACAGCCGGGTAATCGCTGAGTATGACACCGGCCAGCCGGAAGTCTCGCGGAATGAACCACACTCTACCATCCTAGAAGAATATTAGCGCCTAAAAAACTAAAACGAAAGAAAAGAATAGCTGTGTGTTGCGTTTTCCAGAGGTGACAACGGGTATTTAAACAGTGACTATCGGTCGAACGTTTAATTACATCTATATCGCCCGTAAGTTTACGCGTGTTCCTTTACGTGACTTCGGTAACACCCAATTGAAATTTCTATGTTAATACGTGTTTCTTTGCGACTGGGAACATCGTTTCACGAACTACAGTGGGTAAATCAAAAGTATTTTTCGCACACCCTCTCTAAAGCAGAACAACATTTTTAAAATTAGACAAGTGATGTCAGTTTTTTCGGTACAGAAAGTTCGTCAGCGTGAAAGAGCGAACATGCAGCACCCAGTTTATGGTCTTTATAGATTTCTGATTGCACTTTCTGTGTCGACAGTATTGAATGGAATTATTTTATTGGACGAGAAAAAGGGCAGTTCGTTCCGGTTCTTGCGAATAATAGATCAGACTGGTCAGACTTGCGCGAAATTAGTTGGCCAACCGAATAGAAAGTTATTCCACGGTTTCTTGTGATCGGTGGATTGTGAAATCTTATTTGTTTTTCAATTAAAACAACTGATCATCAGGGGCGTTGCGAGCGTTTACGGGTAAATATTCGACAACTTGGCTGGAACTAGAATCTTTTTACTTTTGGAATTTTGTATTTTGAACCCTAATGAACGGAAAACAACTACTGTTCCAATTCTTTTGTACCTTTAACTGACGTATGAAATGACTTCATCATTTTCATGTATAGAATATTAAAAGAAAATAATTAAAATGGAAGAGTATGTAAATGTAATATATGAAAAGAACACAATCTGTCGAAAAATTCCTTCGAATCGGTTGTCGAGGAATTATTGGAAAAAAAAAACCGCGGCTTAACGTTGTCGCGGGTGACTAAGCGTTATTGCAATATACAATATGTATAGTGAATAATTACGACTATCGGGCGTGTCTATCGGTTTCATGAATTTCATCGGACTTATCGCGACAGATAAAGGCTCGAGTTGTGCATCACGAAACGCCCTGATGATCCGACGTGTGGGAATCTATGGACATTAATACGCAAGTTCGAGATCTTCGTAGATCCCGGGAAGATAATTAATGAAGGTTAATTAAGGTCTCTTTTTCTTATTATCGGCTTAATAAGCCCGTTAACAAAGAAAATAGTCGATTTCTGCTCGAACTTTCGTAAGTTCGTGCATGGAAAATATCAATTTACATAAACTTCCGCTATCTACTCATGAATAAAGAACATTCAAGATAAAATGACATTATTAACAAAAACTTGTATTTTTTCTTTTTAATTTAAATAATTACATTTTCCAATTTCTCGAATTGAAATCTGTACGTTATAACAAGGTAAATAGACATTAAAAAATCTAATTTTCATATGCCAAATATTTATTAATATTAGTATCATTTAAAATTCGACTTTAATGGTTTCAAAATCTCATAAATGTCCATTTCATCGGTGTGTTTACCCTATTATATTATTTGCCATGTTTACTATATCGTTTTAATACTACAAGTCTCTTTCTCCTAGACGGTAACAATATTGTCGCGTATAAAAAAAAAGGAAAGGAAAAAAAGTACCGTGCAACGTAACATATAATCGTGCGTAATCGGAAAACATCCTCGATCAGACAAGATTCGCATCACCTCAAAACAGACGATGATCGAGCGGCCTGATCATGATTCGGAGGCGAATCTCCCGTTTGTTTCCTCGTTGGGCCTCGGATTTTTCGCGCTTCCTGGCGGAATCGTTGACCTTGCGATAAAAAAAAAAAACGTCAGAATAAACACTTCCGCCACGTGGCCACCAACGGGATTCAAGTGTTTCGGTACATATTGACTGTACCGACAACAACAAAAAATTGCTACTTGTACATTTCCATTCGATAGATCACTCGTAAACACTTCGTTCGAGTGGGGCCGTAAGGGGTCCCGAATACTTTCGTCGAGGATTAAAAAGTCCATTCCGAACAGATCATAGAAAATTCCGACTATTAGATTATAAGACTTACGATATATGGATCACGGTTAATATAGATGGATTAACCATTTCATATATTGAACGTATAATCTTTCGACGACGATTTATCGAGAAAAAAAAATACCGGATAAGAATCTCGAGGTCCCAATTCCTTCGAACGATCTGTGAAACACTAATAAAATTAACCATCGGTTACGGATATTTTTAACGTTCGTAGAAACAGTGGTGTCTGAGCCCGTTTGAAACCCTATGCTTCCGTCTTTTTAAACATACTTTCGAACGCGATCATCAAAAAACACCTGTCTTTTTTATACGACTAAATATGAACAACTACTAGCTTAAATTGTTAGATACGTGTTTTTAAACACTCGGGTCCAAACGAACCCGGTGGTCACCATACCCCTCTAAGATTAATAGTTCCTAGCCGCGTGTAAGTTGTGTTTACGTATGGAACAAGTAAGCAAGAATTACCACACAATCGATGTAATCGGTCATGTTCAGTTTAATTTTGACCACGATTTTTTCACTCGAACCCGACTCCTATCTCTCGATGATCGAAATTCGGGGAACTTATCTTACGAGCCCGTGTTTCCTAAACGACTCTCTGTCTGTTATGTACGTTGAAATCGGTTGCAGTCCCCGTCGAGAAAAAGAACCGCGATAAAAATCCGTTTTTCGTTCCTTCTATTCAGAGAAGATTACAGGAATTCGTTTCTTTGTTATCTGAAATTCCCTAAAAAGTTCCACGACGACGACCAAGGCAATCTCGGTCGAATCATTATCAGACTGTACGATCTTCGAAAACACGTACGCATACACACAGAGGACAGAGAACACCACGGAGCTGTGTGTAATCGACACAACAAACATTTGGTATCGCGGCCAGCATTTTTATTCAGGGCAATAATTTTTTACAAGATACAGCTACCCAAGGTGTTTTCCAGAAAACGGTGGCACACACACGGTTTCCTATCTTTCACGGAGGATATGTTTATTCTATCGTTTCTCCAACGAACTCTCCTGTCATTATTGTGATCGACAATATCGACAATATCGACAATATCGACAATATCGTTTCGAAGAACAACACGAGGCTACCTCCGTCAAAATCTGTCCTTCTTGTCCCGTGAGAACGCGATACAGCACGATTTGTACGATCCAATTGTGTGGCTAACATTGTTCAGGATTGTCCTTATCGTCTCTAACCTTTGTATTCAATTTCCTAGTATTGGAGAGTCAAGTACACATGAGCGCTCGATTAATCGAATACATAGGTACACAAATATACAATGAATATTCAAATACGCAAAAAAACACAAATTTTACAAATGGTATAACTTTCAGTTCTTGCCAACATTCCGGTGCCCCTCAGCGCAATGTAAACAACACACGATCAACCCCCTTTACGTATTCTCATCGAAATTATCTAACACAGCTATCTTAGATAATTTCACGACCATCTTAAATCATAGACCGAATTCCATCGAGATCGAGAGAACCGTCTAATAAAGCGTCTGAACGACAACAATATCGACACGGTAGAACGAACAACGACAAAACTGAGACGAGACGATCTCGAAATTCCTTGATTTCACTCGGTTCGCGAAATTCGAATCTAACGAGTCAACGGCAAGAAACCCGAAGCACGCAAAAAATGAGAGGGGAACGAATGTGTGTGTAAGTACCTATGGTGATCGCGAAGGACACGCAGTTTCACTAACCGTTCGACAGAAGCGGTTCACTTTTTCTTTTCTAATGAATTTCACATCCTAATGACGTCGTTTCTCGAAAAAACAAGCCTTCCAGTCACTTGACCTCGAATTTTGTGTATTGCCATAAAAGAGAGACTAGCTTTGATTTAAATTGATACATACATACAAGATACGAGGAGCCCGTTACGGTGTATCAACGTCGCATAGCACTCAGTTCCGGCCGATATTGTCCTTCGACGAGTAGAATTTTTCGTGTGAATGCAGTGACTTTCCTTTCCCTTCTGTGTTCGGGATCAATCACCTAACGGCGAACTCGAGGCAATCGAACCAGTCGTTTTCCCGCGAACGGTCAACGGAAAAATATCGAACTGGACACCCAAACGTCACCCACAAACTTATTAGTAGTTTGTACTTGACGAACTCTCTCAGATATATACTTAAAAACGATAACTGTCATCTACGAAACCCGCCACTAATAATTTCTTTACCCTAAACGGTTGACAGGACCGTTATATATTGTACTAAACAAGGAAAGAAATGGAAATAACGGTTTTCCCATCGATATAACCGAACATTATTCATCGATAGACAACATAGATCTGGTCGAATATTGAAATTCTGATCGATAGTAGTTTCCAGTACAGACGCATGGTTCGATTATATCGAGATACAGGTTAAATTCCTTCCTTCGTTATCGAGACAGGTGATAGGTATGCGAAGTTGAAATATTTGAAAACAAAATATTGAACGAAATGTACAGAAAGGTAAAGAAAAACCATCGCGCACGATAAATTACTGTTATTGAATTATATCCATTCGTAAGTGTTTGTTTACATCAAGCATCCTGGAGTGTTCAAGTACACTGCGAAGTATACCACGTATCAGAGGCTTGATTAATGGAAATTTTGCTAATAGCAGAATCTGGAATCTGGAATCAGATTGCAAATCAATTCAAATTGTAATTATCGATCAGAAATCCAATCAACTTTTTCCTGTATTGTATACTATTAAACAAAACAAGCTATGTGTGTATATCGTTGTAAATAAGGATCGATATGGACACTATTTCATAATCGAACAAAAATTTCGATTATCGAAACGTTAAAAATATTTTCAAACGGTAAATCTGTCTCTTCGAACGTTCGAAAACAGATCGGATAATATGTACCTATAGAAAGACCTTATAATGTCCTCAAAATTAAGCAAACACATCTGCTAGACGCAAGAAAGTCTACGCACTTGTTTTCAACACTCGTGTAATGTAATATTTATGTAATATGAAAAGAACAAGCAGTTGTCACACTCACGTCTTTTATAGTAAATAAATCATTAAGATGAAAGCACATATTTAACAAACTAAATCTAGGTTGAAATACACAAACAGAAATATTGCCGCGAATAAATAGCATTTAAAGACTGTTAAGGTTAAACAAAAATGAAATGGAAAGCACAAACTAGATTTAAATATTCCTTGTTGGAATATCGGTTAACTGTATTCGAACAATGCACGTGTCCGTCGTGCTTGTAAACAAAAGACGTCGAAGAGTAAAGCATCAAAACAGCGGCTGAGACGACGGCGTAAAGTGATCAAAGACAATAGGGTAAAGTCACAATGTCACTCACCGTGCTCGAGGTATATCCTAAATTGTCGTGCGACATGGCTGGTCACTTCTCTGTACACAGGAAGACGATATATACGTATGTTCACCTGGAAGCGACGGAATTTGCACGAAGAGTCACGGGCGGCAACGGGGTAAGGTTAAGGGCAAATGAGAACGCGAGGTAACGAAAGATACGGAAAAGAGGATGACCGGTTCTCTTGCTTAGCTTGTTATAGTGCGATGCATTATATTGTGTCGCGACAGGTACGACCGCCGCAACTCGACTGATCACGGTTCGCGCAAAGTATTGTTTATATAGCATCGTGGCACACACGGCACACCGTACTCTTGCCATTTCGTTTGCTGGTCACTCGCGACTCACGATCCGTGATTCGGACGCCGACGATACGGCTCGACTAACTTACGAAGCCTACTAGAGATTAGAATCTAAGGACAGGCTGGTTTTCCATAGAAACACTTTGCCTTTCGTAATTCCCCACTTGACAGGACGAGCAGTACAGGCCGGGCCCCGGCATTAGAGTTGAATATCGGTTACCGCCAATTTTCCTATCGCATCGAACACTCGATTTTCCGAACTGGTGTGACAACGACGCCAGTCTCGGTCGGGAATCGAGAAACCTGTTATGACCTACCAGCTTCCTTTTATTCTCCCGATACAAGTCGTAAAAAATAGTTTGGAAATTGTCCTAATAGCGGTGAAAATTTTTATTGGAATTTCCCGGTTAACGATAAAAGATATTTTAAGAACTATATCTCCCGGTTTTTTGTAGAAAATTGAAAATAAATACTATCCGATTGCGTACGAAGGTACTCGAGGAAATTTTTTATAAGCGGGATGATGTTTACTAAGAATCGTATAGGAAAACATCCTTTAGTCACGTCAACAGACGTCATTGGAAATGAATAAAGCGTGTTGAGTTTATGTAAAACCGCAAGTACTGTCAGTATAACGGCCATCGATTATTCCTTATTCATTTTTATCCTATGCAAGCGTTACCGCAGGAATATAGGACGTGAAACGCGAGAACAAGTCAGAGAAACTGCTAAATAGATCCGGGTATACATATAGTCGTTTCCTATAATTTCATCGCTTAATATCGCGCGCACATTTAGCGAGAACATACGCAGAACATATTTTCTTCTCGAATCTCTACAGAACTTGTTTTCTCCGAGTAACGTGTTTGGTATTTTAAACATAACGTTATTCGTTCGTCGCACAAAAAAAAATGTGAAAAGTAGTACAAGTCAATCTTTTGCGTTCCACGTCTAACCTGTACGACTCTCGGAAATGAGAAAAAAGCAGGACTGCCAAGGATTTGTTTGAATTCGCTGATATTACTGATAAGGGAAAAGATGATAATCGATCGAATTGAATGAAAACGGAAAGTGATATGATTCGAGGGGACTTCGAGTGTAATCTTTTAGGTAACAGAAAGATACAGTGAGACGTGTCACACCAATGATTAAGCTGCTTTTATATTGCATTGTTTATCCTCTGAAATTATTTATATGAAAAGTTACAGAGAATCTATACTTACGTATTCATTATAATGACTCTATCATTCATTATAATGTTTCCCACTCCTATCCTTATTCACCTCCTATTTTCTTACAACCCACTGTTTTCATTGAGGCTTCTTATATAGAAATGTATCACTTAAACTTTTACAATTATACGAGCTTTCTGAATGTACAAGTTATTTCTGATTATTTTCATCCAATGGTTGGAATTACGTCAACAAGCGTGTATAGAATTCTTCGGACAATACCATACATATAACAAGGGTTTTTCTGACTTATGAACTTTCTGCTGACAACATTCTATGACTTTAGACTGCAATCATTTAATAAGTATACATATGTATTATGTACATGTATATGTTCTTCTAAATTCAATGTACGTAAAATTTATATGTTCTTCAAAGCCAGGTTTTTCTTATGTGACAATTCTTATATTACAATACATATATGTATATACAGGGTGTTCGATCACTCTGTACTCTATACTTCCTGATGTATTATAATGTATACGCCAATGTATACTTGTGATTTACTAGAGTACTAGAGTACACTAAAGTACCGCCCACTATGTACTTCATACGTAACTGAAAGTGAAAAGGTGTTCGAATGACATCACGGAATTTTCCTTTCTTTCCGTATTTTTTTCGCTGCAACATTCTACATTCGGTTCGTCTTAGATTCCAATCTCGGAAAGTTAATTAGTCTAGTTGCGTCTAATCCGTTTATTGAACGATAACACATCAAAGATTGTCATGGTATTCCAGTGAAGAGATAATGATAAGTGTTGATGTTGAGCAATAGAACGAATAGATGTAAATTTCCGATAAAATTCGGGAGATTGGAATTCACTATTGTCTGAAAACATTGTTTTCTACAAATTGAATTGAAAGAAGTCATTGTCCGTTCTGAACGCACATTATTCTAATTAGAAATGGTCTACACACAGTAAAAAGACGAGAGTTAAGAATTAGTTGAAATTTAATTTTCTCCATTTTTGCATTCAGTTTATAATTATTCGATCCTGTTGAACAATTTCCCTAATTACAAAGCACGTATTAAAACTTCTTATTGTATTGTGAAACACTTATTTGTCATTGTCGCTAGCGTCCGATTATAAATTCTCAATTTGTTTCACTATGCAAATCGCCTAAGCTAGCATTCTTTTCGTATGACGAATCTTAATGGGATTCTAGTAAAAATGTATTATAAGACAATAAATTAGCTCTGATGACCGACGTAATACCTTCAGTGGTTTTGTACAATGAACAAGTAATCCCTCAAGGAATGTATGTGTACAGTAATATCAAATAAATATATATGTATATTTCGACGCATCATTCACATTATGCAACTACTTGTATCAGAAACATTTTACTGTTTGTTTTTTAAGTTTTTTTTCTCCCCTTTCCATGTATACTAGTGAACATTGTGCAGTCTTAAATATTTTTTTAAAATTTACATTATTAAATATTCCAACACAGACGCAAGACACAAAACATCACAAAATAAGATTGATTCTAAATATATACTTATATAAATACAAGAGTGGTATATGTGACGTAAAAAACAATATTAAAAATTTAAATGAGAAAAGTTCATAAATATACTTCAGTAAACTTACATACATGTTTTCGTGAACACTTTCGTGTACCTGACTATTTGCGATAAATTACGTAAGACGAATTTTTAAATTAGACCTTCTTTGTGCACGTGTAACAGCACTTTATCACAAAGTTTAAGGACACATACATATATAAAAACGTTGTCAAATTTCCAACTAGCGAAAAATATGTTTAAATATAAGATTACCCTTAAAATTCTACGTCGCTGTCTGTTTCGTTGTTTAGCACTCCGTTACTCGTTCTTGCATTCTTTGGCGGAGACAGCGATAAAGATCTATTGTGATCTAAATCTAACGTCATCTTAAGTAACTTCAATACTCCCTTCTTGTCGGTGCTCTCATTTTCTGCGAGCAAATATTATGTTTGATAAACTAAATCACGAATGAAACAAGTTCATGGAACCTACCTTCGTTACGTGTAACCTGTTCTTCGAGATGCAGTTTGCCTTGCGATATCTTATACATGCCTTCCTCTATAGTGTCTTCACTTAATAATCGAATTATGCTAACTGGTCTAGGGGGATATTTATTTTATTATTACAAGTAATCAAACACTTTTAGTTACAATGTATTACAGTCTAATATACACATATATTACCTTTTCTGGCCTACTCTATGGCAACGATCCTCTGCCTGTTTATCATTGTATGGATTGAAATCAATATCGTGGATTATAACAGTATCCGCGGCTGTCAAATTGATCCCCAAGCCTCCAGCTTTTGTGGATAATAAAAATATAAATATGCTATCATCTTCAGTATACTGATTAATCAAAAATTGTCTATCGGTTACCGGTGTACTTCCATCTAATCTATATCCGAAATATGTATAAATAAAAACACATCAGTAGATCACAAAACAGAATCAATTAGTAAAGTACACAACGAACCTCAAATAAGTTTTTCCTCTAATAGTTAGGTACTCCTCTAGGATATCTAGTACCATTGTAAATTGACTGAAAATTAGCACTCTATGACCTTCTTCTTTCAGTTTCGGCAGTAACTCGTCTAACACTCTCAGTTTGCCAGCTTCAGGAATGAGTTCTTGCGGTAAACCTAGCCCAGCCAAGCTCTTGTACGTTCTTGTCAACTGATTTATCTGATAGTCAGACATCCATTGCAAATCTTCGAATACGTAATCCGGATTCTTTTGTTTGTACCCCTGTTCCTTTGCCAACCTACCTGCTATTATCTGACAAAAGTTTATGAGTAATTACAATTCTGCATGGTGCATTTTTCTTTGTTAAATAAACATTGTATACTTACTCTTAACTTGGATTCGTTATAATAATCTCGTACCAACAGCGTATGATTAGCCAACTTTCTCAGCTGTATCATCATCCCAATACCATTTACTTCCGAGCTTCGATCGGCTTCGGCTGAGAACTCGGCTATTAAGTTTCTGTACATTTTTTGTTGCTTTTCCGTCATTGGAACTCTCATTACACGATCAGTTTTTTGGGGTAAGTCTCGAAGAACCTCAGATTTCAATCGACGAAGCACGAACGGTTTCATAATCTGTTTCGCATTTTTAACTTGTTCCTGTTCAAATTGCGGCTGTTTGCTATTCTCTACTGATGGTAGCTTCTGAAATGTGATACATAGATCTACATGATTTACATCCTTATAAGTATGATTATTTTACTATGTAATACTTACAGGATTTTTTGAAAACAAGCTCTTTAAATCAGCTTGCTTTCCAGCAAATAACGAAGGCATTACGAATATTAAGAGCGACATCAATTCTAATAAATTATTTTGCAGGGGAGTGCCAGTTAACAGGATTCGATGTTTCGCCTACGAGAAGTATCATTACACACTGTTATGATCTATACGTGTCTGAGAATTATGAGTCGCTCTGTATACTTAAATACGTACATTAATTCTAACGAGGTTCTCATATCTGATAGTGCTCATATTTTTCAACATATGAGCCTCATCAAACACAACATAATCAATCGGCATAAATCGGAACAATCTTCGCTCTTCTGGTGTGCTGCTAATTAAATTGTATGTGGTTATCAAAACATCAACGTCGTCTAGATTACCTTTTCGCCAACCAAGTCTCATCTCTTTCCTCTCTTCTTGTGAACCATAGTATTGTACAACTTTCAAACCAGGTGACCACCTTTTCATCTCATTGTTCCAATTTTCTAGAAGTGACAGAGACATTTATAAACTGGAAAGTAGAATTCAAAAAAAGTTCTAATGCACACTAACCCATTGTTGAACTAGGAACAACTATTATATGAGGTCCATCTTTCTCATCTCTAAGGCCGGCCTCTTTCAAGTAAGTGAGAAACGATATTACTTGAACTGTCTTTCCTAAACCCATCTCATCTGCTAGTATACCATTCACGTTTTGCGCGTGCATCACAGCAAGCCAATTTAAACCAACCATTTGATAGGAAGCTAAAGTTAAGTTTGATGCTAATCCTTTTGGTTGTTTTGTGATAGTTGAAGCTCCTGCAGCTACAGCCTTCTCTATGTTTGAAGACAAACGAAGGCATTTCTTCATGAGAGTTTCTACTGCATGTCTTGTAGCCAGTAATTCCTATTTTGTTCAGATAACATTATTGATTTTAGTACTCGATACAGATGTGTGTATGATTTCTATCCTTTACCTGAGCTGAGTTCAACAGTTCTGTATCTAAATATTTTTTACTTTGAAACTTTTGAACGAGATCCCTCCAGTTCATAAATGGTCTTGCCTCTATGATAGCATTAACTTTCTTCTGAGAACAATGAGGCATTAAAAGCAATTCCGATGGAACAGAGTTTTGCATGAATTCCAAGATTGCTTTTTTATCACCAGTGAGCTCATTAGATATTTCTATGTCTGAATCTTCATCACTACAAACATCACAATCAAAAAACTGAAATTAATAGAATTTATTACATTATTACACGCATACCTATCAAATACTTTTTCCTTATGGAAAATTTCTTCATCCGAATCAATGTCAGCGTCTTTTTCTCTTTCGAATTTTCTTCTCTTTTTCTTCATGTTTTTAGTAGAACCCTTGATGGTCCTCTTTCTATTATTTCTACTTTCTTCTTCGCCATCATCGCTATCCCAATTTGTGTTATCAACTACTTCCTGTTAAAATACATACTTTCATCTCTCTTTTATTCAACACAAATCAGTACATAAACAAATGAATTTACCTGATCCTTGCGATCTGAGAAACCTGTGTTTTTAGAAGAACTACCAGCATCACTATCACTATCTTCAATTACATTCACTGATTTACGACGAAACTGTATATCAGATCTTAGATTAAAGCTGTCATCATCCGCTGAACATTAATAAAGTTTGTGTTTACAATTGTAATATTGGAAAACATTAATAATTGGAAAGATGGAGAAGAGATTTTTGTTCAGCGTTTTAACTGTATTACTATTAATAACGAATCATGTATACGACGTATAGAATTGTTTGCGTCGGGAAACAAAGTAACGGTCACGGAAACTATTCTTGGTAAAACAACAACAAAGGATAAACACCGCTCATAATAAGCGAAAAACTGAAAATGGATAATAAAAGAAGCCTTACACATGTTTAACGGTTTCAGTTGTTTCTTTTGAAATCGAAATTGTCGCAAGTTTCTCGACAGGCTTGGGCTGCTCGTATCTGTTTTCGGTGAATTCGAATCCGACATCTCGTGATCTCGTCAAACGAATGAGAGATTCTGGTGAAAACACATTTTTGTAAAGGTTGCTTTTAAAACACGTTTGACAGGTGCATTCGGAAAATCTCCGAACTAGGGAGAACGAAGAACATCCAACAGGTTTATATAGTTACCTGTTTACCAATTATTTGGAATATCTGCGTTTTTAATTTTTAGTGATTTTACAATTGCCCACAACGATTCCTTCATTCTAACAAAATTATTAAAGAAAATAAACAGTAGCAACCTGTTCTTTCTACAGTGTTGTTTATAAACTCACATTTACTTGAAAAATTGCAAAAGAAACAAATATTCTAAAATATATACGTGCAACTGCATGTTCCGAAACAATGGCCATTCGAACAGTCGTTGTGTTTCATAATTTTGAAATACGATTTTTGTTAAGGCTAAAAACAATGACGAAGATAGAACAGGAAGAGTCAAACGATAAAAATACAGGAAAAATGTACATATATATAACACTGAGGTAGGAGGTTAAACTTAAGAAAAACGACCAAGATTACTAAGACATAAAAATCAGACAAGGTAATCTGCTTGTATTGTAATAATAGATTAAGCTTTCGTTCCTCGCTAACTTGAATTTCAATTTATATAAAAAAATATATATAATGAAAAACTGAATAAAATAATTATGAATAAATAATATATTTCCCTTTAAAGTTCAAAACGGATAAAATTGCCACAATTTTGAAACTCAAAGCTTCTACGGTTTTTTCATGTATGAGCGCCAAAAATTTGAATTAACGATGATGTACATGCGATCATGCCTTTAAGTTATCATTTGTTGATATTCAGGAGTTTACGTCAAAATCAACTGCAATCAACTGACTCCATTGTGTAGTCATATTATTCATGTGAAATTCTCGTCTGTTCTATTACAACTTCGATCAGTTTATTTACATAAAAATAAATATCTTGTTAAACGATAACGACATGTTCCGATACATTCCACGAGTAAACAACAATTAAATGTAAAATGTTGTTATACACTTTGGTGGGAGGTTACGTGTTAACATCGATGATATTACTCAAATATCCGACGTTGTTACACAAAAAGAAAAATGTAAAATTTACCTGCCGACATATCAGTCACAGAGGAGGTGAGCTAATAAATTTTTCATGATTGTTTTCGTAAACGTACGGAATACGATTCAGTGTCATTTTTTCTCTCAGGTGCAGGCGAAGGATATGAAAATACAATGTATGCGTTTAAACGGTTAGTACAGATGCCTGCTAATTGTTTCAAGGTTTAGACAGAGACTTAAAACTAGTATTACTTTGATTTCTGTGATATTGAAATTAACACAATATGAAAATTGAAGTAATATCAAAACTAAGATCTTTTTTCAAGCAGTTGTTTAGAACTCTCTGCTATAATTGTTACATTATTGGTCTATTTTTTTGTTTCAGAGCTGTGGCAATTGGAACAGAAATGTTAGAATTAGATTGTCATCTAACAAAGGATGGTGAGGTAGTTGTGTCTCATGATCAAAATCTTCTGCGTAGTGCAGGCATAAACAAGAATATTTCAGAATTGACTTACAAAGAACTACCTCTTTTGAAACCACACCTTCCAATCGATTTTGATCCAGGTAAGTGACTGGTTACTACTGTGACATATTATTGAATAAAGTTATTTAAAACCTGTAGTTTTACAGATTCAGTATACATTGGCTCTGAAAAGGAAGAAGACAGGCAAGTTCCCTTATTGAAAGAAGTATTCAAAGCATTCCCCAATATGCCAATTAATATTGATATTAAAATTAATGACGATGAGCTTATATCAAAAGTGTCCAATCTAATAAAGGAGTACAATCGTGAGGAATATACTGTATGGGGAAACTTTAGCAATGAAATAACACAGAAATGTTATAAAACGGTAAATGACTTATACCTAAAAGAATGAAAGAGTAGTAAATATGTAATGTTAATTTCTTTGCAGAACCCAAATGTGAATTTGTTATTTTCTACACAACGTGTAACCCTACTGATATTTTTAATGTATACTGGTTTATTACCATTTGTACCTTTGAAGGAAACACACCTGGAAATATGTTTACCTTCCATTTATTTAAGGTACTTACAATACTTTATATAATACTTCATTAAGTAGAAGTAATAAGTTTTGCATTATCATAGGCGCAAAGGGGGCCCGAGTTCTACATTACAGCACTTAGAAAAATTAATTGTACATACTATGAATGTACTACTAATGAGGCCCAGCTTATTTAATCATTTAAGAGCCCGTGGAATACATGTAAGTTTATAATACCATGTATAGTAATCATTCACGAATTAAGTGTTTCATGTTATAAGATCAGTTTTCATAAACGCAAATGCGTACTTTTCTCGTAGGTATATTTTTGGGTCTTGAACAAAGATGAAGAATTTGAAAGAGCTTTTGACCTTGGCGCAACCGGCATAATGACAGATTATCCAACAAAATTAAAACTATTTCTAAAGAATCATACATTTGAATAGAGCACAAAGCAATGAATGCTTGAAAAACAAGACTATTCAATGTTAGATACTAATTATTTTATTATTACAAAGAAGTCATACATGGTGTTATGCACGAATATAATATGTACAACTTTAATCAAGCAGTCCGATTTTATTTTCATTTTCAAAGAGTGAGAATCGCTTAAGAATCTGCATACACAGAATGCTAGTACAAAATTGGTTCGTAGTTAACAAAATGCAAATAAGTTCATATAAGAATTACTTTACTCAGTCTAGTCAAGGTGCATTATAGAATTTATGATGAAATGTTCACTGCAAAGAATTACATTTATTGGACATCAGACTAAATCTGCAAATGATATACTTCGAATGATATTTTGATTACATTCGAAAGTAATGCCATGTAGTTCGATTATTTGGGAAAACCTTTCGCAAAGCCAGTATTTAATTGTTTTTAAATATTAAGAATTTACAAATGAGGAACATTGATTTTATTATGCACTAAGCCGCATTTAATACATTGTCAGTATTATTGTACTTTTGTACAATCCAGTGTTACTCATTGCAGTTAACTGATAATTATAAATACTGCACATAAACATTAACTATGAAACATTGAAACTATTTATTTAAAATTTTTTTGCAACATCTCCGCTAATGTAAAGAGTAATTAATGGATAAGTGATGAAGTAATAAATTATTTTTTTATTCTATTTTTATTCTATATTATATACATGGACGCGAGTTGCAAGTATTGGCAAAAGTTGTTACAAAGTGCAAATTAAATTGCATTAGGTAATTGACAAATAAATAATAATGATCTATTACCTCATTATAAATAATCACCATGGGCTTAAAATATAGATTGCTGTATATCATTGTTATAATACTTAATGCTACGAAACGATTACCAAAGTACAATATTACATAGATTTTCTAACTGATATTAAATTATGTATTTTCTATGGTTATCTCAGGTGTAACTAAAGATACTATAGATGTTAACTACATACAAATTGTATAAATATAGCGCTTATACTATGTATAAACACACACTTTTGTATTTGGAATAAATTTTAACATACACCTTTTAATTGTGCTCTTGAATCATAATTAACTGTTTCTATAATTTTTTGTAGAAGACTTCGTTATGAAATATAAACGTATAAAAATATTCTTTCATATTGTTTCTATACTGAAGACAATAATTGCTCAGGACTCACTGCACTTATGATAAACAACTGTCTTTGGTTCTTCATTGGAACCATCAAGAGGTATTTGCACATATGCAAATACTTTACCTTTACAGTAATAGCAACTTTCTTTGGAAGGGTGAGAGCTATTAAAATGTTTTCGTATTTCAGAATGGTTGCCAACAATATCTAAATTGCAAATATCACAGTGCACTTGGATTGGTCGAAACCTTCCATGTACAGCATCTGTAACAACTCGACCTACATTGTCGGTGTCACTGCTATTAGTGGATAAATCTTCTGATGACATTTTATTTCTGTAGCAAATAATAAATTATATATATATATATATACTGTTACATGATGTGAACTTTCATTACATTAAGCAATTACATTATATTTAAACCTGAATCTTCGAAAAATTTGTTACACTGAAGAAGAAATTTAATTACTAAAGAATTTAAACACAGAATAATTGCTGTAATTGCATAAAAGATAGTACCTTAAATGTTTATTAATGCGTAATAAGAATAATCTATGCAATTAACAAAATAACAATTATAATTCAGATTTTAACAAAAAACGCAAACAGATAATGTACGTTATTAAGAATATGTACAAAGGTTAGAGAACTCTAACCTATCATCACTTACGCTGAATTCCTCGCTACTAATGACACTAAGCTTCTTTCAATGTTCTATTTTCCTTTACTATTATGTAAACTGACTCATTTGTGTTCTTTACAGTATTTTATACCCGTTATCTTTAGTTTATTTACAAAAATACAATACATTTTATACATCAGTGATCTGTACAGAGTGAAGTATAATATGTGGAAGTAAGTACATACATACATATATATATGTACAATATATACTTACATATATATATAAACCTCTGATTTAAACATTTTTGTCTGTATCAGTTTCTTTATCTCTTGCTTGACACTACCTAGTACCATAAGTACAGATAGAAGGAATTAAAAACAGAACTAATTAGAAATTAAGATGTATTTTCTTACAGTCAAGTAATTACATTATATTTACTTAAACCTGATTAAAGTGTGCACATGGTTATATGTATTTATATTGGCTTTATTTTAAAGTGTAGCCCTATAAGGGAAAATACTAAGCATTTCAAATCTTGCACCAGGTAATAAAAGCAACGAAGTCCTTCTGGATCCCTTGACTGGTTAACATCCAACAGAGAACCAGTCTTAGAGGTAGTGAATGATATGTGTTCATCTCCAATTACAATTTCTAATTCCTGTCTACCAACTCGATCAGGTTGTGGCCAGAGAGAGTCATCTTCTTGCATGATTTCAGAGTCCTGAATGATTCTTTTCAGTTCCTCCATCACGCACTGATGCACATATGCTTCCTTTCTAATCATAGTATCGTTCTTATAATTCGAGTTATTCGCATATCGTAGTTTGCCATCCGGTCTGAATTCGAATTCCAAGAACTCGTGACCGAATTTTCCTTTATGCCCAACATAGTAACGTATATAAAAGTCTGTTGACATCGTGAACGGCTTTTAACGGAACTTCGAACTTAATTCAATGGTCCTCTGATGATTAATGAACCACCTAAAAAGGATTCAATCGTTTTCGAATGAAATATTGAAGCCGCATAAATTACTACGAGGTTATTTACGTACCTTTGTTTTATTACGATTGTTTTACCTCTTTAATCTTATGCTACAAAGATAATACTATATTTCTTTATAAGTGTAAACAGTTTTTTAAATAAGCATATATGAATCATTCAGAAAAACACTTATATAGTAAGTTTCTCGTACGCGTCTGTGTTTGATGTGGTTTGATGACAAGCTTCAATCGCTTTAATACCGCTAATCGTCAACCATGTTTGAACGGCCACTAGGGCCAGTTTTTGGAATTACCAAAAGATATCGTTCCGTCATCTATCTCCTATATTATATTACTAATTGGCTAGTAGCTTGAACAGTTTGTTGTAGATGACACTATAGGTCTCATTGACCATTCAGTGTAAAAAGAATGAAATATTAATTCAAAAATACCCTAACTGAAAGTTATTTATGAAAAACATCGACTCAAGGATATTCAATAATCAGTTTGGTACTATCGAAATACCTATATATAAGCAATCGAACTTTGCACGGTTGTTCTGTATTCCTCGTTATATACCACCAAATATCAAGGCATATGAAAAAACTCTCATTTTAGCTGGTGAATCTTGTTGGAATGGGTGAACAACTAAATACCTATTTATTAATACCCATTTTGATCGTATACATCTAACGGGACACAACTCCGTTTTCACTCGTATTTTAAACTTTTACATATCGATTAATTATCTGTTCAAGTGTTAATAATATATCTTGCATTCTGAATTAAAATGTTTGAAAATCGTTCGAAGAAGAATTGAAAAAATCACGCATGTGGAAACAAGGAAAGATTTAACTTTACTAACATTCAATTGAAAATTAATATCGGGTTAAGTACCATGCAACATTTGACATCTTAATTTCGAACAAACTCCACATCGCATCCGTCGCGTCTGTCGCGGATCAGCCTTCGTAATAGGACGTTATTTAGTGGTCATCCGGTGACATCTGAATTGTCAAGTTCTGTGCCACGCAAGTTGTTTTGAGCATTGAGTTGTCTCGAACGAATAAGTATAATCGCTAAAGGTAACTAAAAGCCGCAGCTGGATTTTCTTACACACTCCACGATGAGAACGACTAACGGCGGATTCAACACGGGTGACACGCACGAATGTTGAAGGATCTATACGTAAACCAGTGGGATGTTAACAGCATTCACTTTGATGTATGTACCAAGGTAGTAAGCTGAAGGATGAGATTATCCTCCTCGACGAGTTCACGTAACTTAAGCTCGTCATAGCGGTCACTCGGCTAAGGATTACGCATCAGCCATGAATAAAGCCCACATGGACAAAAGACTGAATCAGTTGCCCACCTGGCTGTGGACTAATTCCACTACTTTACCACCGGTCTACAAAATGGTATGGGAAGCAGTGCGGGAGGATAAGGTCAGATCGAATGGAATGCAAACCGAGTTGCTTGTCGACACTAACAAAGTCTTTCCCTTGTTGCTTACTAGTCAGCTTCCCACAGAAGTTCTTGGACACATATGGAACTTAGCAAATCAAAAGTATGCTGGTCAGCTCACAGAGCAGGAACTATATATTGTTCTTGCTCTGGTTGCAGCTGCTCAGGCTTCTTATACCTTTAATAGTCTAGATATATTACATTTACTTCCATTTCCGCCTACGCCGTACTTAAACATAGAATGTTTAATGAATCTGCAGCCTGTAACACAGTTGAATTCTCCAGCTAAGTTTCAAAGCCTTAATGACAACGCAGAGCTGAACTTCATTGGTCCAGATGGCAGATATTTGTCAGATGTCAAGGGGAAGACAAAATTGCATCAGCATGGTATTATATCTTCTGATTCGAACGTGCAAACAACAAACAGTGTACCTGGGAAAATTTCTTCATCGGATGGTAAATTTCACATGACTTCTACCACTGTGTGGGATGTGAATAATATATTGAAAGAAACAAAACAAGCAACCAACCGCATTCAAATTGATTCTAAGCATTCGTCTGCGACGGATTCGTGCGATGATTTCTCCGAGTTTCAAAGCGCTCCGATTCCTAACATTCCTAGTGTTCCCATTTGGGACACGAAACAAGGGTCCGCGATCGGCAGCAGATTGGCAAATCATAATTTAGGTGTCAAGAAACCTGTAGAGAAGTCAAAAAAGAATAACATAAACGTTAAATCCGTGCACGGCTCTGTTCACGTGAAGATCACAGCTACACCTTTGAATACATCTCAGAATAAGGATCAGCCTACACTGGATTGTTTACCCGATCTATTTCCTAAATGTACAATAAAAAATCAATCTAAAACAGTAATACTTAAGGATACAGTGATAAGGAACAATGATCCGCCCAAGGACCATAGTGAAACTGTAAAGGATCGTATAAGCTCAGAAATTATAAATTTAAATAGTCAGAAAGATGTATCGAACAAAATAGAATGGTCGGAGAAGGTAATGTATTCTTCTAACAGTCTATTTGTAATTGTATGGTATCACTTTTCAATATCAAATAATTTATAGGTTTCATCAGGAATATTGCAATTTAATCAACAGGACCTAATGAATAACCAGCTCGTCGAAGATAAATATAGTGCCTTGCGTGCATTGGTTCAGGACGCAATTGTGTCAAAAGAATCAGAATTAAACGCAAGTCATAACAGTCAGTCAGTCGACGAATTCGGAGAATTTATATCCGCGGAACAGCCGGCAAGCAACGCTTCTGTCTCGAATACTTTAGACACTGATAATTGTACCGACATCTTTACAGAATTTGTGCTTAAATCTAACAATAGTAATACAAATACGACGGATTTGAATGTCATGCCGGAAAATTCTGAATCGTTCGACAATTTTAAGCTCGAGGATATTGTAGTAGAAGAACGCTCGTTAGAAATGGGTAAATAGTGTTGTATCATTCGCGCCACTTATGATTCTTGATTACGCACAAAAAGATAATGATAATGTTTCATTTTAAGGGAAAGCTCTTCAGAAGGAAGATGCCATATCAATTAATAGTATAGAGTTCATGAACGGTGCACCAAATGCACTGACTCGATCAGGATCTGTGCCTAGTTTAGATCTTAAGTCTTTCTTACCTTCAAATACAGAAGATGAACAAGTAGTTGATACTACACATCAGGTGATTACATACTTGTTATATGTATACGAGATGTATAACATTTTAGCGTGGAGTATTCCCTCCCTATAATTGCATCGTTCGGGATAGGTAGCCCGATTCTATAAGTTGGCAAGATTAAAGTGAGGCCCATAAGGAGGTGTAAAAGTACAATTATATAGGGGGGGGGAGGGGGTATTGGGCAAAAGTAAGACTCGAACTCGCAATCTCTGGATTCTTCAACTGGTTAGCTTTTGTTTTAATCACCACAGCCATAGTGCTTTTCCGCTTTTCCTAGCTTCCTAGCTCTTCTTAAAAGGTTTGGGAATCTTGATCCTACATGAATGATAGTAAAAGTTACTGATAATAGTAAAACTTTTGTTTACACGTTTAAGTTAAGTTGAACAAAAAGGAGGCATAATATATGTATCTTTACAGTCAGAATACTGGGAATGGAAGCAATACATGGAAAGCTGTGTACTATTATTACAAGTAGCTGCAAATATATTCACAAGTATTACCTCGGAACTCGTTCTGCACGAGGTTCTAAATTCAGCGCAGGGATATAATTTCCTCTGCAGTAAGCATCGTAAACAGAATATCACAAGATTCGCTTGGTTTGTGTAATACATTTCACGCTCTTTCCCAACAGACTTGGCCGAAGTCGCGGCAGTTTGTAGACGCGTTAATTTTTCGTATAAAGAAATGGATATTAATATAATAGGATTTGATGAGTTGCTAATGGACATTGACAGGATTTGGGCAGAAATGGAGCCGTTTTACACAAACATTCCGGTTAGTGGTAAAACTGTTATGTAGTATCTTATACATTTCAGTAACTTACACATATATTTAATATAAAGACTATTTACGAGTAATCCTTTTCACGGTTGCGTATGAAAAATTTTTAGATTGTCACGGAACTACCAGCTTGGCCTTTGCATCAAGGAGAAACCATTTGCTGTTCTCTTTGCTTAACAGTTATTACTAGCGGCAGAGTAGTGTATAACGAGAATAATTATCACGTAACTTGCGCAAATTTGTGGCTTAATTGTGTGAACAGTCATTTGCCGGTGATGCGGCACCCGTCTTTCTATTCACACTCGAACATTTGTCCAGGTAACAATCATATATGATATTGATCTGCATAAGAACGACAAGAAGCTTATGTTCAGAAGTTTGTTATAGTACACACTTATTACACAAACGATTTGTAGAGAACAGAACAGGCTACCTTTATATCTGATTAATGACTAGAAAAATCAAACATTAACATTTTTAAATATTTATCATGTGAGAAGAGTATGGCAATCAAGCGAAACGAAATCGAACATGTGTACAGTAAGGGCAATGAATTCGATACGAATTGTATATATTCTTTAAATCCGAACATTTTCGAGGTCTTACAGACTAGTCCACTTAAAGATATTACTGTACAGGCAGTGAAAAGGTTAGAGGGATATATTAATATACATACATTATAGTTCATTTGAATAGTCGAAAAAGTCTCGAAAAGATCATACAAAGTCTTAAGCATAGTAGAAAAAAAAGGTTGAACTCTTAAACCTGAACAAAAGTTCATATCAATCAAATCGAGTTAATATTTTCGAGAGGATCTTATTAAATTCATAGCAAATTTCGATGAAGCGAGATTAAAATAAAAATATTATTCTATTATATAACATTACAGTAAAATATAGTAGTGATCTTACATTTACAAGTTCAAAATTATCGTTGACTCGTATCGCGTGGTCTATATACTATTCCTCTGCTTTTCATCTCTCTTATAACACCTGCTGGTAATCGCCCTGACACCGATATCGCGTATACACCCTTGCAAAATCGATCTGAAAGCAAACAAAGAATCTCAGTTTACATAAATTGGTCTGCAAGAATATTTTTTTAAATTCGCATAAATATCCATGGACTTGTAATTATATAGCAAGAGGGTTTTATCAATTGGGTTGTTCCAGTTAAATTATGAAACAAATGAAAACACGTGAAGAAGAGAGATTGCAAAGTATATAGAAAATAAATAGAATCAGATGTACGCACATGAGCATGTTCCTTGATAAGTAGACCTTATGAGATATACATATTGTCATACATAACTAAATAGTAACAATTCTGTATAAATGTACAATAGTATTTAAATACTAAGAATCTCACGAGCAAAAGAACTTGTTGCAAATATACATATTGCATTGTTTTGTATTAGCCGCATTGTTTGTATCAAAAATATTCGCTTTGAATCTTGTACAAATTGCTGCCTTCAAATACATACACAGACTTAATGCAAAAACATTATTCACATTGTTGTCATTTACACTGCCAGAAGGGAGAATTAAGGAAGTCAGATTGCCGATAGCTCGAAAAAATACAAAATTTCAAATGTCAAAATAATGTAGAACAGGGAAGATAACAGTGTATATTGAATTATTGTAAGGCAATGTAACTGTTATAATTTTGTAAAGGTGTATCGGAATAAAGTAATAACATTTCTCTTGCTTAAACTTAACTCAATGTAAATGGATACAAGCTTGTTACTTACTTATTCTTTGCCATTTGGAAACCCAACTATCCTCTGGACTCATTGCAGCAATCATACTGAAAATAATATATAAGAAATATGACTAAAAACATTGATATTTAAGATAAAATGTTTCTTTAATTACTTACCCATCGAAATTGGAACTTGTGCAGTCAAAGACATTATCTTTGTTATTTTTCATTCGTAAAAATTCGTCGCAATTATCGCAACCGTCGAATTCGAATTGATCAAACGTCTATAACAACATCATGTAATGTGCGTTAATTGTTCTTATTATGTAAAAATTAGATTAGAAAACTATAAACGTACTTTAATCAAAGAACAAACCAAACATGCTCTCAACCCTCGTAAGTCTTTCGGAACGGTTTCCATTGATATAACTAATATTTTATCACTAATATAATTGTTAACTAATTTACTTTTAAATCAAAAGGAGTCCCGCTACAGTTGCTTGTAGATTCGTTGTAAATCACAACAATTAAGAACTCCCATAAATGGTAACCTCAGCTGACACACCATAAAAGTATGTTTACATTTACCTAAAGCTTTGTTTTTATTATTAGTGACTATGTTGTACCGCATTTTCAATGAATTATTACATGTTTCCAGTAATCGTCAGTAGAGGGCAATAAGACTCGAAAGAAATTTCCAATTTAAAATCTAATTTTCAATTTACTATTTCTAGTCCGTTCCGATATAAAATGTACATTAGACACAATGCCAACTACAAACGCAATATAAAATCTTTTTTTGTAAACGAAAATCTAGTCGTTACATGTAAGTACTCCACTCTAAATCAGTGTTACTAACACCGAAGGTGAAAATGTCTATAGCTAATATATAAGAATAAATTCAGATCATTTGTAATTGATCTATTTAAAACCCCCAAGTATTTTCCAACTTGTATAAATTGTTTATCGATAAATGTGACAAATGCTATATAAACAATAGAAATTTGTCTAGTTTTCATAAAAACTTCCTAATATTTTACTTTCTTTTGTTGCCGCCATCACTTTTTAAAACCCAACGAGGGACGCATTAAACGCGGGAACTGGTTGCATTGTGGGTTCGAGCATTCGTTGCGCAGATGGGACGACGGTGGGTTCTTCTGGGGCTATACATCGGAAATATTTGAATATTCGTTTCGTAAATACCATAGTTTTAAAGTAGAAACAGTAATCTGTCGTTTTCTTTATTCCTCGTTTGAATATCATTACCAGATTTTCTTCGTACGATCTAACTGACTAGCGTTTCTAACGGCCACTATCATGAAACCCGGAGGTGGTACGAAGGTATCTGGCGCCAAAACTGTTGCCCCCGAGGTTAGTAATGCAACATACTTTTTTATATTGCATGTTATTTATCTAATATCTATTCTAAAACACGAAATTATTAATTTTAAGTTAATCGTACTATTTACGTTAAAGTACCAAGATTCTGTGTTTCTAACAATTTTTTTACTGCTCCACACAAAGTGTGTCTCCTTAATTTGAATAACAATTTTCACATTTTTCCGTTTAATTGAGCAGCATATCGTGATTGGCTAATTGATTTTTGAAATTATATTTAATGCTTGAAGTCTTACATATTTCATTGTTACTTTAAGATGGATCTGCATCATTCCACATATGCTGTAATTATGTCATTATTTTTGTATTAATTTACTCATAACTAAACATATCCATGTAGTGGCGTATTTATGCTGTAGAATTAATTGCATGCAAAGGTTTCAAGGTACGTCATACATTTTTCTCTTTTACCAAAACAGGATAAGGTCAGAAAGTCTTTGCACGTTTTGCAGCCAGCAGCCACTGACAAAGAAAATTTAGTTGGTGGTGGGAGGATGCTTAGATCTGCCTTGTCTGTAAAAGAGGGACAGAAACCGTAAGTAAAATTTATGTACCTCTTAGTAAACAGTACAACTATTAAAGCTCATTTCAATATATACAAATTTAGTAAAATTGTACAGATTGAGATACAATGTCACTTGTATTTTTTTTTTTTTTTTTTTATAAATATATACACAGTATATACTTCCTCTTTCAGTGAAGTAACAGAGAAATCAAAACACGATGCTCCAAAACGTAAAAAAATTACACTTAGAGATAAGGGTGTCCAAACTGCAAGAGGAGATAAGATTAAGATAGAAGTTGAAGATTTAACATCAGAAGGTACCATCATAAACAATATGCATAATAAGATATAAACATTGTACTATTTTTAACCATAAACATACTTGTTGCTTACAGCTGGACCCAGTGAAAACTACTGGGAAGTGTTAGCAGAAAGGCGGCGGATAGCTCTTAACGATGCCTTAGAAGAGAACAAGGAGTTATCTGATCGTATTGAAAAACTGGAAGATGAGAATCGTTTATACAAAGAAATGTTGGATGAAACTAGAACACTTGTTGAAGTTCTACAGGTATCTCTAACAGACATTTTCCTGACAAAATATTTACATTACTCTGCACATGTACGTGAACACTATGTGTGTTGCAGGAAATGGTTGGAGAAGACAGAAGTGATATAAATAATTCCTTAGAAGATAGTGTCCTTTAACTTAGTATTTATAAAACGGGTACCAACCTCGGTGCCTTATGATCCAAGATATAGGGATAAGTATCTCCATATTGGAGACAATAAAATGCATTCGTCCTTGATATGACGTGTCATGACAAAAAGTCTGAGTAAAATTTCATTGAACTGAAAATGGAAGAGCTTCTATACGTTACTCTAGTTACATTTTAGTCGCCCAAGATCGTATGTATTCACGAACAACAAGAATTCATTTATAATTGCCTATTTGCCCGAAGTAAGACTACGGCCGTGATGATGAACACGTTTACCTCATGGAGTACTAGTTATATTACGTATATATATAGAGAGAGAAAGAGAGAAAGTTTTAATTATAATTAATAAACGAGTTTCCTAAAAGTGTTTCTGTACCAGTAACCTTCGTTTCATTCAGTAAATCTCTGTCCTATTTGTTTATTCATCTCATGGGGTAATCATCTAAAACACTGCCCTGTTCCCGGAAATCATAGTATCAATGAAGAGACTACTAAGTATCACGTATTTATTTCACAAATCTTTGGCATAGAACACCTTGAATTCCATTGAGAAAAACATCAACGCTAACATTAATTTTAGCAACAACATGACCAGTGTTCACGTCAACACACCGGTCGCAGAGCACCTTGTGCGTTCGAGGAAGCCATTGTCTACTGCATCGTCGTCATCATCAACATCATCATCATCGTGTTTCAGTGAAAAGATATGAAGTTCGGAAAGCTGCCAGGAAACTCGTGCATAAATTATTGCTGGACACGCTGCTGAATACGGGATTCGCAAAAGCGAATTTCGTGTGTATTCCACTGCTCGTGCACGGGAGGGCTTCGCCTCGACTGTTATTTTTTTTTTTTTCTTTACTTTTTCCATCTCGCCACGGGGGACGTGGCCTGTATTTTTTTATTCTGGATGACCAATTGCACAGGTAGCAGGACCCTCGCGTGAGAGTCGGTGAACGTCGGGTTTTGCACTGCGGAACGCTGTCGAGAAGCGTAGACGTTAATCCTTCTAATCTTCGTCCTTGAAACGGCGGTAGATGGACTGTACGTAGGTGAAAACACACTTCCAGTCCGGTTTTCGCATCATCACCATGTCCTCGACGTCAAGCAATGGTGCGATTCCGGCGAGTTCGCTGTGAGAAACATTTTAAGCATCATATTTCGTGGAACTATTTCCAGTGATTCATTCTTGTCCTTTCACCGATCATCAGGTTGGTGGACCAAATGACTAGGTTATTCGATTACTCGAATGAGTGCAATTAACAAACTACAGATATTCATGCAAATATAGATCTTTTGTGGATTAATTTACAAAAACTGGGCCGAAGCAGACATTTCTTTACTCTATTAAGAACTCCGTAGAACTTTCGAATAAAATTGAGAACAGTTTCAACAATCATTAAACTTTTTTACTACAGTGAACCTTAGACAATTCTATGTATATACGTATGTTAAAAATGCAAAAAGTCTCTAAAGTAATATAATGTGTATGAGAGGGGAACGCTTGTATGCAGTTTCTAGTGTTCAATGTAAAGAAACAGAATTAACGATTAAACTGTCCATTTTCAAGGGTTTAATGGAATGAATGGTGCGATGCCTACTCGGCTTTTTTAAACGCCAAGTCGAAGTTCATCCTGCGGTTCTCCGGCCGTAGTGAATGGTAATCGAACGCTTCCGGTCTAAAGTGATGAAGCAGAGCGCAGAACGCCAGTCCGTTGTTCCAGCTCGTGGAGAAATTATCCAGCTGCACGTTCTACGAGAAGAAAGAGAAAGAGACCCGACACCACGTGGCCGGGAATATGTTGGTTGAGTAACGGTGTGCAGCAGCCGGCGGTATCAATTTTACTCTCGGTGACACGCAATTATCCGGCCATTCTGTAAATAACCGTTTTACAACGGGGATTTACCTCGTACTCTTTGGTCTTGGAACGGCACCAGGCCAGTAGCCTCTCTTTTATTTGCGCCGCGTTGTCCCTCACCGCTGGCTCGGTAAACTTGAATCGAAACTCTGTTGCCGGTGACTTTACAGGACTAAATATAGAAAGAAATGGAACGCGTTTAAACTTTTGAAAGAACCGGTGTGTGCGAACCACGGTTTCGGGAGTTCGTCACTAACCGCGCGCACACAGATGCCATTGAATCACAAGAATTGCATGGAAAGCTAATGTTCTAATGCTATTACCACGTGTTGGACGTGGAAAATCACATGTCTATGGAAATTACCGTTTTTATATTGGGTTCGGTAATAAATAACTTTCGTATAATTACATGGCAATGATATTAAGTAAGGGTTCAACCGTGTAACAGTTACTCCAAGTTTAATCGTAATTAGAAACCTGTTATAGATTAATATTAATTGCAAAATATTTCGTATCGACGTAAATTCGAAAAAAAAAAAAAAAAGAAAACGGAAGTTATTTGTGACTGAACCTAATCGATTGTTTTATGGAAATAGAATCAACTTATTGAATTGAAAATAAAACAGGGATTCGTATGTCAAATTTTGTAGTCTGCATGAAATATGTACGGTTTACTATCGCGGTTTACTATCTGGTGATTCAAGTGGATTTTTGGTTTACTCTATCCGGATGTACACTCAAATTCGATCTAGATAAGAGTTACGTATACAATGTTTTGTAATCTCGTATCAATCTAGATCACGTTCAGGTGTTCAGGAGCAACCAATCGTTACTTGTATGTTCTAATGTAGCATTTAATTTATCTGTACTCAAAATTCGAAATATTTCACGCGTGACCATGTTCGCATAGAAAATAGTGCACGATAAAGAACGATATTTAGACAAACAAATGTCGCTCGTAAATAAAATTTTCAATTACCTCGGTGACGAAGCGGCGCTATTTTGTCTGTCGAGTTCACGAAACTTGGCAAACGGCGATAACGGCTTCTTGCGGGCTAAAAAAGAAAGCGAATAGGAACGTTATTAAACAAAGAGATGCCGTCCAGCCGGTTCGACTCGAGTCGTCAGCGCAAACGTTAGGGTTTTATCGTTGATCACGGCAACATGTCATACGGACCAACGACAAACGAAAGAAAAAGAAAAACCAATTGTTAATAATCTCTACGCTTATGTTTCGAAAGAAAAAAAACCAACGTCTGTCAATAAATCGTTTCGCATTTGAGAAAGATTAGAAGGATCTGGCGGAAAAGAAAGTGAAAAAAACAGGAGACAGTTTTCATTTCTCGACCTCGTCACCATGATTCTTCGATCGTTTGTGATCGAGTCCTATCGTGTCTGTCGGACCGATATTCCTTCTTAGATTGCAAACTGGTCCATTACCAGTAGATCGTTCTACAAGCAACAACCAAAAAAAAGAGCGAAAAGACTACGCAGAGCTACTAGTTTAAGAAAACGAAGTTAAGGCTCCGTGTGCTCGTATAGATCGTGTTTGTACGGTTCCGCCAGCCGGTGTGCACCAAGTACGCGTGCGTGTGACGCATCGGGTACCCCTGTGGATACCAAAATGGCGGCGCGATTTCGAAATCCTCCCGCTGGACGAAACTGCGCGGCGGCGTGTAAGTACATAGATTCCGCGAATAAAGCGTTGGAAAACTTGGCTCTGGCCCGTCTGCCGAATGTTTACAATCTCTAAATAAATTCGCACGTGCACTCGCGCTGGTATTTCTGCGTCGATAGAGGACGAATTATATACCTATTCCTCGTCGATCGAACGGTAGAAATCTGCCGCAAGGGTGGGGTGGAAGTTCTCGATGGAAACAGAACCTAAAGAAAGAAAAATCGCTCTCTTGGCCAACAGGGTATGTGAAGTATAATTGTTATGGTTTTTATGGACTCGTTGAATTTTGAAGTTCTCGTGACGACCTTGGAGGTACCAAGCTCGGATCGCGGTAAGATTAAGTTAATGAGATTATAATTTCATGAACCAGAGGGAGCAGTTCTTCAATTTTATGTACAGGAGACATTTTTTTCGTGCAACTACTCGTGATCGTGTATCGAGTGAAATTTTGCATTTTTACAATAATCATACGTTACATCGTGAATCTCACGAATTTCAATATCTTCGTCAAGATCTGATGGAGTCTTGTATCCTTAACCATTCGAAGGTTTTCATAGGAAAAGAAAGTGTAATAGGAACTAATTGTTCCCGAGTACCGTAAAATTCGACTTTTCGCGAAGACTCATGGTCTAATCGTGGCATTTTAATGGTCGAAGAAATTTTGCCGAAAATTCACCGCCGGTCGTAACTGTCTATAAATAGTTCTGACGTTAGTCCTCGGATCACTCTGTACAATATTCTGTCTCCACGAACAAGTCCACACGGCATAGAGGAGGTAGAGAGGTCCTTTTAATATTTAGAGATGGTGTGCAAAATCATTAACAATGATTTATCACAGTGATCGTAATTTTTGAACTTTCAACAAAAAAAAGAATATATACAATATGATTTTAAAACGAATTACATTACTATTTGTGTTTTTAAAAATCAGTATAAAAAAAAGGCATTATAAAAGAATGATTTGCTGTAATTATACAACATGTATGCTACGTAACATAGATTGGAATTTATTTCTAGAGAATCACTCGTGATTCACAAGTAGCAATTCCCCACGCCATCTCTATTTAAATATCTGGTGCGTGTGTGCGTGCGTGCGTGCGTGTGAGAGAGCTAGCGAGCGTGTCGTATCGCTTCTAAAAGTTTCTACTGCGCTTATGCGAAGGCGGTGTTCTACGTTTGTTAAATTTTCGTGCAGATATCCGAGGGGGGCAGTGGTGCAAGCTAAAGCCGCGTCTACACTACATAAAAAAAAAAAATTTGCTAACTTTGCTATATAGACTTGTTATGCTATACTCTATACTCTATACACCGTGTAGACGCAGCTTAATACGCTACTGCGCGGTGGTGAGCAAAACAGGATCAACAAAAAGATGAAGGGACTGTCTGTGACTCACTGCTTTATTCGGGGTTTGGCACGACCTTCTAGCACGACTCTGAACGTCCCGTCCGCAAAACGTGTTCGCCTTAACTCGAGAGGCTCGTTTGAAAACAAAAAAAAGAAGGAGAAACGAAAAAGAGAAGAATAACAATAGAAGGAAAAAATAAGAAGAAAACAAAAACATTGCACACGCGTCCCCCTCTCGTACAACGGGAATCATCGCGATGCATTCAGTCTCGTTTCCACGGGAACGCAAACGAAGATCCGCTCCCACGAGGAGGTCCCCTGCAGCAACAATACCGAAACCAAGCACACGCGTTCTTTGGTCTTCCCTCCACCACACACACTTGTACAAAATCGATTTCGAATCTTCCTTGTTCACCCACGATAAATCCTAGTTCCTCATCCGTAAAGGATCATCGATCCTTTTACGGCTTTACCTTCGGTGACCACCTCGGATCGTGTGTCACTATACGGCACTCGGTGTTCACGAGGCAAGATAACCGCACAGTGGTTCTCAAGGTCACGTGGCGACCGGTTGGGGCCGATGAACAGAAGAACGACAGTCCCCACAACGGTCCCAACCGATTGGATCGCGGCTGGTACCTAGCGCCAGGTCGAGGACGACGAAACGACGTTGAAGTCCGCGTCAGCAATGCCGGCCCTCGGTTCTGGTGGCCTCCTCGAACAGATCGTCGAAGACCTTATCGACGTCCGCGGTGTTCACGTTCAGCAGAGGCGTCTGTTGAACGGTGCTCGGTATCTGTAACCTTAGCCGTTCATCGGACATTCCAGGCATCGTACGGCTACGAGACAGGCCGACCATTTCCTTGTTGAAGGTCCTCGGTGAACGTCTCTTCGAATGGTCCCTGGTTTCAGTGGCGTCCACGGGGCTGTCGAAGTACTGTCTGATCTTGTCCTCCATCCTCTTCACGCTGTCGGCCATCGAGGACGCCTCGAATTGCTTCGAGCGAAGTTTCTGCGAGGACGGGGACCTAGGCTTCGGTGGTTTCGGATGGACCGACGGTCTGGAGGTTACTGTCGCTGTAGGTACGCTGACACGTGGCGCACGCGGATAGCCGGCGGATTGGGCCAATTGGTGCCAGGACTCGGATTTTGACAACACGATGGATCTGGAAGACTTGTTCGCGCAGGAGACCAGGTATTCGTCGCTGGAGTCGATCGACGCCCCCCCGTTCGGTACAGGGGACCGTTCCTTCTGGATCGGTTGACCGCTGGGCGACAGCTCGTAGGCTTCACGGAGCGAGACCACTCGGTTCGCTGGAATTGGACTGGGCGAATGGGTCGTCCTGGACGGTTCTGGCTTTTTCTGGGGGATTGGAGTTAAGAATTTACCGAATTTCGATGGTTGGGCGTTCGGCGATTGATCGAAGTTCGCTGGATGGTCGAAGCTCTGTTGGTGGCTCTGAGGGATCTGTTGAGGACGGTTGATGTTCGAGGTTTGATCGATGCTTTGCGGAGACCCTTGGATAGACATGGGTGACTGACTGATCCCGGAGGATTCACCGAAGTTCCGTTGTTGGGCGTGAGCAGCGCTAGGTTGATGACTCTGGTGGAGACTGTAACTCGGTTCAGCCACGCCAGACGACTGGCTGACACTTCTAGATGTCACGGTTACATGCTGACCGGAGTCAGCTTGATACCGAGGGGGTTCGTCGTTCAGGCAGGCGATCTCGTTCTGCAGACGCCGGACCAGGCTCTGTTGCAACAGATTGTGCCTACGTATCTCGTCCTCGGGCGTGGCGGTCTCGCTGGTTGTTGGCCTGGACCTGGACGACCATCGGGAGGGCGAGGGTGACGAGGAGGCGCGTGACTCGATGAACGGTAGCTCTTCGGAACGCGGTTCAGGACTGTCGACCGATGTGGCGACGGTGGCGATCGCGCAGGTGTACCGTGTCACCACACCGACGTCGGGACTGATGTCCTGGTTCTGGATGTTCTGATCGTCCAGGAACGCCGGATCCTCTACGGGCCAGTCCGCTGTTGACTTATCCTTCTGCGAACGATCGTAGGTTGGCAGGCTCGTTGGAGAAACGACGGGCTGATCGGGACCTTCTTCGTCTTCCTTCTGATAACCCTGAATCTCGTGCGTTGGATCCTTGGGGAGATTAACAGGATTTCCAGGTTGTTTTTGGTGACCGGCCTGATGGGTAACAACAGTGTCTCTGTTGTTCTGTTCGCTCGACGACCGACGTGGACTGGACATCGGGGAATCACCTGAAACCGTACGATAGCTCTGATTGTGGTCCAAGACGAATCTCTGATGGTCAACACCACGCTGAATGGTCGATCCTTCATCGACGATCGGTGTCCATTGCTTCCGAGTGTCCGTGTCGCTTATCGACGCACACGGTCTCTCTAGATCGGTAGTTTGAACGGAAACGTTGCTACAAACCATAGATCCTTTCGGAATCTTCGGCGCTACTCTGAACGATCGTCCTTCGTCCTGATGATCCTCGTTGATACCGGTCTGTACAGCTACCGACGAGCTACCTCGCAATGTAGCGTCGGCAAACCTCGGCTTCGGCGGCTCTTTCTGACCGTATCCTCCGTTTCCTTTGATCGTCTCGTAGCTGTTCCTGATCTCCGGTCCAATTTTCTCCTTTATCAACGGACGTTCCACCGGATACTGATGGATTCTCGGGGGTTTGCGTCCCTCCGGGATCTTGAACGAGATCTTACCGTCCACCACACCGGGAATCCTTTGTTCCTCGCGCTGCTTCTTCGTTTCCATGGCGGCCTTGCCGACAAAAGGGGCGAATTGTTTGCAGAACGATTTATAATCGATTCGACCGTTCTCCGTCACTGTCCCGTTCCTCTCGTGATCGATCCAAGGGGGTCGCGGAAACGCGGGTTTCTCGCGATCTGCAGTGGGTCTAGACCTCGCTGGTGCGTTCTCCCGGTCGAACATCATTCTCGCCTTTTCCCTCAAGTTATTCGTCGGCACCGGGGCGTTCTTGGGCCAATGATACGCCGGCGGAACCTTCGACGGGGACACAGGGGATTTCTCGATTTTCTTGAACGGCGAGGATGGCGCGTGTCTGAAACCGCCCCCGAAGTCTTTCATAACGGGAGAATTATAATTCGAGCCTAAATCAGAATTTGACGGATACGAAGAATTCTGTACCGCCCCGGGGAACATCTTGTTCGCACGATCCTTCAACGACGGTCTATTCTCCCTGTCCTCGTTCCCCGATGGTTTGTCGAAGGTCGTCTTGATATTCGAGAACCGGCTGGTCCAGTTTTTCTGCGCCGTAGACGGGGGCACGTCCATTGTCTTCGCGAACCCGAACGCCTTAAACGGCACCACCGTGTTCGCGGGCGCGTCGTTGTTCTTGTTGATCAACGCGAGAAACTTCCTGTCGTTCTCCGTTCTCGGCTGAAAGCTCGGCACAATGGTCCCTGTACGATGAACGCTCGCCTTGTCCCCGACGTTGATCGGTCGCCGAAGGGAAACGCAGCCAGTGCTCTTGCGACCGAGACTCTCCGTCTGTAGCTTCAGATAGCTGGGTATGTCGATGGTGTTCGCACGTTTGATCTTCGATTTCTTCGCGGTGAACTTATTTGCCGGAGGATACCGACTGGCCGCTAACTCGGCCCGTTGTCCGAGTATCTCCGCCAATCTGCTCACTCGGCCCTTCACCTCGTTGTCCTCGACAATATTCACGTTACTCTCTTGGTAAATATTATTATACCGACACGTACTCTCGACCTGTTTATCGTCCACCTCCTGGCCGCCTTTGTAGCTCTCTCTGATCTCCTTGTTCTTGTCCTCCAACAGCTGGCGCTGATTGATCGCGTCCTTTACGCACTTGTCTCGTATCTCCTCCGACCTCTTCTCCAAATTCACCGTCTCCTCGTTGTTGCCGTTCTGACCCCTCTCCTTCGCCGGGCGCACGTCCTCCAGCGGCAAGCAACCGCTGTTTCTCTCCTCCTCCAACCACTTCCTGGCCCTGGCCAATTCCTCCGTCGAGACGCCGATGGTGTGTCTAGTTCCTCTGCGTCTTCTGCTCAACGACGTCGACGGCAGTACCGGGGTCGTCGTTTTCTCCGATTGTAGGATTTTCTTCTCCTCCACCTCGGGCACCTGTAGCCTAGATAACAGACTGGACACGAGTCGCAGCAAGTGTAGCTTTCCAGTGGAATCGGATGCGGCGCCGTTTCTTGCCAACGCGGCTACGTCCGTACGTTCCAAGGTCTCCCGTAGCCGCGACAGGGCGGTCTGGATGTCGGACAACAGAAGATCCTCGAGAAACTTTAGATCCTTCCTGAGCTCCGGTTCGGTGCAACCGACGAGCACACGTTCCATGGACGTACGTATCCGGAAGTCCTCCTCGGAGTCCACGCCGGAATCCTCGCGTGTTGGCCGCTGTTGAATCACCTCCTCCTCCACCGACTGCTTTTCGGCTCCACCCGCTAGGGTGTGTTCGAGCGCTGAACGGAGACGCTCCACTAACGCCGGTAACGTAGAATTCCACTGACCAACTGCTGCAGCGTGACCGGCCGGTTCATCGCCGTTCACTGCGGTCCCTACCTTACCGACCACCGTTTCCGGTTGGATCGTGTCGATAATGACGGCACTGGGCGACGACGACGTGATGGTTTCCGGTGTTGTACGCGCTGAAAAAGAAACGATACGAGACGGGGGTTGAACCGTGGTGCGGACCTGGCCGTTTGTGGCTGGTTCCACGATGGAACTGAAAGACAATCCGCGAGAAGAGCGTGGATGTCTCGCGCACACGAGATTTTTTTGTTTTCCATTTCTTTTTTTTTTTTTTTGTTCTTTTCCCTCCCCCGTTTGGTTTTCTCCGTTCTCCCGTTTCTGATTGGACACGCTCGGCTCGGAAACTAGAGAGAATTCGAGAATTCTTCGACATTGGTTCTCGCGAGACCGAAAGCTAGAGACGACCCGCAACAGCCTCGGTCTGCCGGTGATGACCGGCTATCGTGCGCGTCTCGCCTCGCCTCTTTATTTAAAACCCACCGGATTCTCTCCGCGGGATTTATTTTCGGTCCCTCGTTCAACGGCTCGCAGCTGCGCCCCGCGAGCAAGCGTGACGGAACGAAGAGACGCGATCGGATTCCCGGTTGTTCGGGGTAATTCGAGGATGGATGGTCCCACCGAGAGAGTGAGGAGTGGGGGGGAGGGGGGAGACTTCTTTCGTTTTCTAACCGACTTATTCTTCCGTGTGATTGTGTTCACGTGTTGATCGATTGACATTTAGTCAGAAAGACTCGTGGTGGGTCCTGCTTTTTGAATCCTTTGGATCCACGTCGGGGGCTCTAAGGTTTGAAGCTCAAAGTTCAGTAGAATGTAACATTGCATACAATCAAAAGAAATTGTACTCCAAACTTTTGAGCAGCAGTGTCAGCATACTACGAATTGTGCGTGTCCTGTGTGTTGTGAGAATATGAAAATTGCTCGAAATCGATCTACAGCTTCGATATACAATGTACGGCAACAAATGTATTTAGGTTGCCGTACCTAGTGGTGAGTATCGAACCGAATTTCTCTAAGATTTTCTCATCTTGATTCGTTACGTTATAACAGCGATTCGTGTAACAATGCTATTTTCTAACAAAAAGTATACAATAATAAGATTGTTCTTTTTTTTTTTTTATAATTTGCTTTGCCCCCGAAGCATTTTTCGCGGAGTAAACATAAAGGTTGGTTCTTCGATCTTTTTTCTCGTAAGTTAACCCGATAAAGATGTATCGGTTTCCGTGTGATTAGCACGGATAAATTTTACGGTACGGTTATAGAGAATAGCTCTCTCTCTCTCTCTCTACCTCTACCTCGCTCTGTCTTTCACGGTGATCCATCTATCCAAGAATTACCACACGTCACGAACCTGGTTGCGTGATCTCCTTCCTGTCCACCTCAAGCGGTTTCTTCACCGTCTCTACGAACGTCTCCTTGTCCTCCTTGAACTCTTCCTCGTTGCTCTCCTCGGACAGCTCTTTCGTTTCCTTCGGCGTGTCGTCATAAGTGTCTAAATAATCCGCGGAGCTGGACCGGCCGCTCTCCTCCTCGATGATGCTGTGGAAATCATTGTTCTCCACTACGGCACGGATGTCTGGAAAATATTGATCGTTGAAAAAAAAATCGAAAATCCGCGAAGATGACAGCATAAATTTGATTTAAGACAGAATTAGAGGAGCATAAGATCGATTAAAAGAGAGGTAGTCAGTTAACCGAATGGTAATTTACAAAAGAAAAAAGAACGAAAGTCGGTCAATCGAATGTTTTTTTACGTTCTGTTTCGTTCACACGCGTCTCCAGAGATGCTTCTTAATGGTGTTTTTTTAGTGGAAAATCGCAAACGATGGTTGTCCAGCTGCAATCACGTGGACTGATTTAAGTCGATCTTTAACCTCTCGAGGGATACTGGCACGTACATATGTGTACGTTTGGTTTTTCTTTCATTTAAGCATCATTTCGAAACTGTACATTAATTATTCACTAGGAAATTCCCCACAAAAAGGATATTCCACCAATTGATTCTCGTTAATATTTGTAAAAAATATTTTAATTAAATACAGCTGAAGAGTAAACAAAATATTCTTTCTAGTCCTAATAAATTTGTCTCTGAAGAGGTTAAAAAAAAAACCAGAAGTTGAGAGCAGCTGGATGGTTACGTTAATGATGTTACGCTGCCAGATTAAAGGAAGACAGACAGAGAGAGAGAGAGAGAGAGAGGGGAGAGTAGGAGAGCGAACGAGAGAGTCGTGTGGTCTCAAGTGTTGTCTGCTGTTTTCGAGCCTCTTCGATCATCGTACATTTCTTTTTCTCTGTTGCCCCCGAGCTCCTCGACGCGTGCCCGTGTTCAATTTATCTATTTACGATACTCAATATTTCTAGGCCGTTGCCACGTGAATCAAAGAACATCTTGACGCGCCAGCTCGCAAAGAAGACCCTCACCTTCCGTCTCCGACATTTTGATCCTCCGCTTCGACCGGGGGGCGCCTGGAATCGAAAACAAACATCCGTTTTTTTTCTTCTTCTTTCTTCGTGTCGCCTTATTAAACTGCTCGGACTATAAGCGAAGAACGAGGAGAGACGTTGCAGACTCTTCTGGTCTTTCTAGTCCCTTTGAATATTCGAAATTTCGGTGTTCAAACGAAACGGAAAGAAACATGGTACCGATTCACGACTGAACTGGAGAAACTTTATGTATAGTAACGGGTGACTAATAAAAAAAAAAGTAACAGACATATTCTTTTATCAGATATAAAGAATCCTCATCGTGCGTCTTGAACTGTGCCCAAGGTATACGTTAGACACTTATTATAGAAAGAAGTTTAGCAACTACCACCACTATATGTATATGTATATGCTTGAAAAATAACTGTATTCTCTCCTATTAGTCACTTGCTTTTCGAATTTCCCAGAAGCTTTGTGTAATTGTCGTGTTTACAATTTTAAACCGGGAAATGACGACAACGCGAAACTTCTTCCCACGTGTCCGATATATCGAATCGAAATAATTATATCTTTACAGTACAAGCACTCTAAATATCTCACGAGGACACCATCAATCGACACTAATAATCACGCACACACACTACCGAATCGTAAGGGACAGCAATGTATACGCTCGCGAGGAAATTCAGTTTCCGCTAGGGGCACTTGGTATCGGGAGTTTCTGAAATTTATGCCAAAGTAACATTCAGTTTATCATTCATTTCAGCACTTGTTCCCCTAGCGTAAAACCAATTTTACACGTCAGTGTTACATACCGCTAAATCGGAAACACGCGTTTACAGAGATTCATTGTCTCCTACCGATTCCTACATCATCCACTCTGTAATCTTCACGGAAATTCGAGCCACACACGCGCACGACTGACAATGTCCTCTTCTGTTAGCACCACAAGTGTTTGGCCAGAGGTCCGGTACTGGGCATTATTCTCCCTATTTAGCTTGGCGCGCGTCGACATTGAGCTACATCCTATTCGACGGTTCGTTTACTCCTGCGACCCTGCCTGTGAACGATGGACGTGAATTCTCACCGATTTCCGTGAAACGACGCGGAACAGGACCAGAGGCGTACCGTTGGTTCTAGTCGACGGGCAAATCCGCAACGACGGCGTGCAAGAGAAGAAAACCGTGGTCGCCGGCTGTTTCGGACACGGCGGGCCTAGCGCGAAAATAACTTTGACCCTATTTCGCGCCGCACACGGAAATTCGGAAGTTTCTTCGCACGCCAGCTATACGCCCCTCCTCGATACAGCCGATATACCGACGCGTACGATCCCCTAAATTGGTCGTTCACGCCGCGCCGACTCAGCGGCGGCCACCTGGTCCGACGGCGAACGAGTGGGCTGTGTGTTTCGGTAATAAATAGACTACGGATTTTATGCATTTCTAGCTTTCACGATTATCTCAGATTCGGTACAACGGAATGCGATCTATGGTATCCGATAGAACACTTAACGGAGTTAACGAATTTCTCCGATACCACTTTCTACAAATTGATGTGGATATACATATAAACACGGTGAAATATTCGCAGTTCCGCGATGATATACCTATTACGATCGAAATCTGAAGACAATGGTCTTTCGCGTGAATAATGCGTTGTATCTGACTGTTACGTAAGAGGCTCGTCGAAGAACTTGGGGCACGTGTGATGCCGTGGATTAAGATAGATCCGATAAGTAAGGATGAATAATTCGGTACTAGCAATTTCAAATAAAATTTAATGCGAGGTATTAAAAACCACACTATTAAGTCTGCGAAACTTGAAGTATACAGTTACAATGAAATTTAACGCAGGATCGTGACTGTATCAGACTGGCGGTAGTTGTAACAGGCCTGTCGACGTACGATAAACGAAAACGAAGAAAGACCAAGTGAATTAAGCAGGATATACGCGGGTGCGTCGGAACGTTGCTAAGAAAAGGCCGTCGCGATTAAAAACGTTTCTGTCTTCATCGCGCGCGTGCCCCGCATCCACCGTCAACTGCGTATCCTCCTGAAACGCGATAAATAAACACTCCGGTTGTTGCTGCGCCGTACGATAATAAATGTTTCCCGCGGGGTGTTGCGCAAGAGCAACAAATAGACGAGAACCTTTTTACCGAACTGGATTTCTGGAGATTTCTACACAACGTCAGCGTTACAGGAATCTCCGACATCGAGGTCTCCGGTGAAATGTTTGTCCCTGATGAAAAATAATAACTGACTTTTAAATACCGGTAGTATTAGAGGAGAATATCGAGTTAGAGAATAATATATGTGATATTTCAAGAGAAAATCGTAACCGGTGAAAGGGTAGAATGTCAAAGTACGGAAAGGAACCTAGATATTTCCGAAGAGTCACTGCACCGTCGGAGAAATTCTTCAGAAAAACCTGAAAGAGCAATCGAACGATTACCTTGAAACTCTCTGACCAACTAAACCAAACTAATCGGCCCACAATGGTAGTGGCGACAAAAAACGGTTCTTCGAGAATCAACAACGTGACAAAGAGGTGTCCTAACCTTAAGAAGAGACCGGTGCACAAAATCATCTCGTAACAGGATCAATCGACTTCTTGAGTCGGACACACAGATATACATATATAAAGAGAGAGAGAGAGAGAGAGAGAGAGAGCTACGGAGATTTGATTCCAGAACAGTGTCAGTCGTTCTCCGCAATTAAAGAAATGGAACGGAGTAAAAGCAGGGCGCGTGAGGGTGAAGAAAGCCGGACGTAGCTGTGTTCCGGTCAGTTTGCTATGCATGCGGTGCCGCGACCATGATAGGCGAGCGTAAAGGAGCGGCGTATGTAGTCGTCTGTATCGTTCTGTGCACGGGCCCGTTCGCGGTGCCACGAGGACGGCAAGAACGTTTTATAAATAGTCCTGGGGCGAGTTTCACCGTGATGGACGGGACTCGACGAACGCCACCACGAGAAAGCACCTTCGTCGTCCTTCGGCCGGCACGATTCTTTTTTTTTTTTTAACGAAATATCTACGTATATTGCCGTGTACGACCTTCTTGGGTCCGGTGGCAAGGGGACCAGCGGGGATTTTTCGCGAATAAGCGCGCGCACGTTCCGAATGGAACACTGCCAAAACCGTCGCGCACACTTTCTTGCCACCCATCGCCGATTTTGGTTCGAAACCGGGAATCACGCTGGTGTTCCGCTAGGGCTTGTTCGATTCTGTTGCGACTCTTCCGGAAGATGGATTTCCTTGGATAACACGTCACTGCCATCCACGACATATACACAAACGGCCAAAAGTATGGGACCAGGTCTGATAATTGAAGAAAGAGATTATTCTACAAAGAGTTAATGAGCGTGTTAAAATAAACGGGAAGCGATTTGTGTATGTATCGATCCCATAACTTTTATTTTATGGTAACAGAACTCTGGTCCCATACTTTTGGCCGTTAGTGTATATGTATTATAGATGGCAGAGACGTGTGTCACTTAAGGGAATCGATCTTCCGAAGAATCGAATCGAAATCGAACATCCCCAGTATCCACGGCAATTGTCCAACGTGCCCCGTGAATGATCGGCCGAACAGGATGACGAATTCTTCTTTATCCACTGGACAGACACCGTGATTATTTATGTATCGATTTATCCTTGTATCGCAGAGGATCCCGGTACAATTTCACGGAGCACAGTTCTCGACGATCGCACAGGAGAAAGCTGAGCAAAGTGTGTAAATTACGATGTGTTAGTGTCTGTACCCCCCACCACCACCACCTCAGATTGTGAGAATAAGCGATGAACGAATACGATTACGTACCAATGAACGTACGGTTACACGATTAAATGAATAGAGAGCGTGCACGAATCACATAGAAATTCGTTCGATTTTGAGCGTTTTAGATCTGATGGTTCGGTTTACCTTGAACGGTCAGAGAAGCGGTTGTTGGTGTATTGGGGGCCTACGCGGTCAGGAGACTGCGCGAGTAGCCTGCCACCGGGCTCCTCGTTCCCCGGTGGTTATCGTTGTCGGTGGTGGTGGTGGTGGTGGAGGAGCCGTTTGGCCTGGCCTGGTGGTGGTAGCCGACGACGGTGGATGATGCTACCAGCGCTACCGTTAAAAGCTTACCGTCACCCGGCTCGAATTAGACCGACTGAAATAGAACCAGGAGTTATTGCCGGCACTATAGACCAGCCTGGACGTATGTAAGCATACCTCTCTTGCGCTGTGTGTCCGGTGGACACGGGACGCAGTGGTCTGCTGCTGGTAATGCTTCCGGTACCGGTACAACCCGAGGTTGTCCCCTTGGCATCTAGTTGCGCCACGAAGACCATCACGTAGCCTTTACGTTTTTTTACGTACGTATACCTGGTCCCACGTTCCCGTCGCTACTCCAGTAATCGCCGGTGTTACGGTGACTCGGCTATTTTCGATGTCGCACGAGGAGATCGTGAATGAATTTAGGGAGCTGAATGTTAATGGGTTTCACGAGCTGAGTACTACTGACCTTAAGTGTTACGGTTGGACAGCATTGATTGGAGTTCTGAGACGCATACGTTTGTGGGACGGTTGTATTCTTTGAGATATGGAAACGTTGAGAGTTTGGCTGGATTGTAACTGGAAATTGTTTAATGTATGTTAGTGTGGTTGTTCGAGATGTGATGTGGGAGTTGTGATGGCAATATGATGAGAGTACGTGGTTTGGTTCGTTTGCCGTCAACGTTACACGAACTGTATTTTTTTCTGATAGACAATAACAGTGATTAAAGAACGAATCGATCGATGGTTTGAAAAATCGATCGATAGCCGTGCGGTACTAGGCTAACCGGTACGGTTTGGGTGGTCGTAACTTCAATTAATTTTCATACGGCCAATTTTCAAGTGTTCGTATTTTTGAAAATTTGTCCATATAGAGGACAAATAGGACTGTATTTGAAAATCCTTCGAAATACGTTTATATATCATCGAAGACTACAACATATCCCAATTTCAACAAAATCCGAAATGTTACTCCAAAAAGTGTTTGATTTCGCGTGGAATGACCTTATACGTACTTATAGGTAGTATACAAAAGAAAAGTGAATCTCCCCGATAGTGACTTCCAGCCGGATGTCCGATCAACACCGTCCGTATCCACTGTAACCGTGTCGATTCTCGTTATTCCGCCTCCGTGAAATCTCTGCAAGTATACATATACACCGCGATTAGAAGCAATTACTGATAGGGATGAAATGATCCAAGTAAATACAAGTAAATAATCAATACTTTTCTTTCGATACCGAGTATTTTTAGTATCGATACTTCCGGTTGCGATATACATACATGTACTCGGTATGTATCCATGAGAAATGACAATGAAATTGTAATTTTTATAACAACATAATACTTTTCCCTGAATGAGTCGACATTTGGCAAACAATTATTTAACCTCATTAACTGTTTAATCCTCCGGACGACATCCTTATATACTACAGCTTTTCACTACGTATTATTCGAATAAAATTCAAGTTATAAGTAAAAGTATCGATACCATGACGGTAGCGGTTTATTCCTAATTACTGATCGACGAAATTCCGTACGTTTCTGTCGGTTCAGATTTATTTCGGTCCTCTCACACGTACGTCGAGGGAGGCATTCCTACTGGCGATCCACGTCTCGCGTCTCGTCGTGTGTGTCGTCATCCGGGATCATCGATCGGCGGGAGGATCCGTCGAAATAAAACGACATGCGCGCCGGAGGAATCGCGCTCGGGTTTTTCAGCCGCGGCACAGCTGACCGAAATACACACGCCTTTTTGCCCCTGTGCGGTCTACACCTCCACCTCCTCCGATTCCTCGAGAGACGTAGGGGGGCCCCACTTGTCTTTCTCTTTCATCCTCCCCTCTAGACTCGTCCGACCCCTTCCTCCGTCGTCATCCGCTGGAAATCACTTTCCAAGACCCGTTAACCTACTCGGGACTCGGGGGCCTTAGTACACGTTCTGCCAGCGGACCTACACGCCACACACCGTTCGCAGGTGCCTCGTCTCTCGGCCACCTTGGTTTTTCGCAATAATTGTCCTTGGACACTGGGTAGCCGAGCCTGGAGATCTAAGGTATACACAACCATAAGCATACAACTTGAATAACTTCGTGGCAGCTCTTGTAGAACATTCAAACATTATCGAATCAACGATTCGTTCGTTTCCATTGTTGTGCGCGCACCAGACAGTATATACAATCTGGGAGAGGTGCCCCTGATGCGAAACGGTTTCAACGGAGAACCGGAACTGCCCGGTTCCGTCGGCGTCACGTTACGAGAAATCGTACGGAGACGATGAGGGGATGGTTCGATGCTTTCCGCATCGACGGCGGACCGACGTTGTACAGCTACAGCAACAGAACACCGGTCACCGGCGACGTGCCATTGGTGATCGTCTTCGTGATCTTCGGCACGATCTTCACCGCGTTTCTGGTCATATTCCCTGGGATTCGAAAGGAGGCGAGTCGTAACAAAAAAAAAACATTGTTATGTTTTCTATTGTACCTAACAAAGTGAGCCCAACCGATCGATTTGTTACATTGAGCGTTTACTAGCTTGTTAACTACTAACCTTGATCGTTCGTCGTGATTATTCAATTCTTCGGAATGTACTTGTGTAAGTTAAACGATAGATCAGTTTGGCCTTCCAAGAAAAGTTTTACGCGACATCGCTGGGAATGCTCAATACATGTATATCCTCTACTTGACATTTTTAGAGACTGAGCACATTTCTCACGGTGACCTTGAGCCTGTTCGTCGGAGCCTCGATCCAAGGTACGGTCTATTATACATATACTTCTCTCACACCTGCAAAAATTAACCGAGTTTTCTCTTTCGAGTCCTCTCTGCTGACAGAATGTAACCCTTTATTCTCTCTCTTCACCCCCCCCCCCAGTCGCCCAGTATGGATCATCCTGGCACACCAGCTCCGCGACCATCGTCAGCACCTACAGCGCGTACTCCGGACAAAAGACTACCGCTGAGATCGGTGGATACATAGGCCTGATGCATATCAATATCACGTACAGACGTGAGTCATCGTCGTGTCGGGAGTAAACCGATTTTAAATCCAGCCGATACACATATCACGCGTCGTATACGATCAATTTTCGTTCGGGCGCGTTTATTCGAACTATAACAACACACGATGATCGTGTTTCATAATAAAGGTTATTTACTAATTTTTCTCGGGGTTCTTACATACGCACATACAGTGTTACCAAGCAACGAACACCGTATGGACGATGTGGAGTACAACGAGAGGTTCTGGTGGAGAAGTACAGGAGAAATGACCAGTGCATTCAAGCAAGCGCTTAACCAGGGCGCACCGTTCCCCATTGTATCGCTCGCGGAATACTTCAGCCTCCATCAGGAGGGATTCTCATGGGGAAGCAAGTACCGGCAGGCTGGTTACTATACGTCCCTGATGCTCTGGTAAATGCTATATTCAAATACTATACACAAAACACCTCTTACTTAATGTAGGAAAGCCAGGAAAAGTAGGAATTGATTGAGTGGGACTCGAACCACACACGTTCTTAAAATTCCCTCGGCTGGCCAGTACATGTAATCATCTGAGCCACGGTACCCCATCATCTTTCCTAGTCTTCTGACCTCTTCTTAACAGATCTGGGGTCCCCTTTCCCAACATGATTTTTTTTCATTAAAATGGCATACTTTTTTAGGTATATAAGTTTCGTTAAATAAGGGATCAGAGTGTAAGTTAAGAACTGACAGTATCTTTTCACCTTTTTATTTCATTATCGAGTATTTTCCAGGACGTCCTTTGCTTCCTGGACCATGATGAACTTGCTGCTGGTGGTAGTGCCACGATACGGTGCCTACGGAATGATTTCCACCGGTATTTGTATGCTACTGACCAGTTTAATATACTGGGCGCTACTGCCGTGCGAGCCACTGATAGCCCATATAGAGGGCTCTATTCTTGCTTTCAATCTGGGATGGAACTACTGGCTGGTTTTACTGTCCGGTTTGTACATAGACTTCGTGTTGATCCGCAACAGCGTTCCAAGGAAAGGGATTCTCAGGATTGGTGATGCTTCTTTCAGGTATCGGATGCCTATTCGTCGGTGCGGTGATAACAGCGATCGACATGATATTTCCTCATCAATTCTCCACTATATTGGAAGTCGACTATGACACTCCGTACGATCGACACGTTATCATAGAGGAGAGTTTCGACACGAGAAACATCAGGCGAAGGTTACCTAAAATCGAGGATTCATTTGGTGATCGAATAATAAGGTCTTCAGCTATTTATTTAACAATGATTCGATTCGTTCGACTGCACCGGTTGTGTGTGCGTGTGTGCGTGTGTATGTATGCTGTGTAAATTTTCATTTGTTCTGTTTGATGATCATTTCAGTCAGTTGTCGTCGAAACTGCAGAGCAGACACGACGCGAAGGAAGACACTCAGGGCGTGATAAATCGTGGTTACACTTCGCACGAGTCCGCGGACTTCCAACACGAGGACACGGCCAAGAACAATTGGTCCTATCCATTCCCATCGTCTTCGCGGAGGACCATTAACGATTGATCTTCGGTTATTTATAATTTTTGACATAACGAGAATAAAAATCGTGTTATTACTCCACTCGTGGTTGTCACTTTACCCTGGAACTCCTGGGACCGACAAGGGAATATCACCAAATTTCTTGATAATATTAAGGAGGAATTCCGTTTGTAGGAGCTCCATGGTTACGTTTCTTTAAAACAAATTTGAAAAAAAATTGTTCGTCTCTCTCGTTTTTTCTCATAAATAAGAAATATAATACTCGGTATAAATAAACGGATGCGCACACGCGCATAAGAGACTAGCCGAAGTTCTCGAAATGATGAATGAAGTAAGGCAGACGACGGCCTTTGTTCACTTCGTCGCAAGACGACATCACGCTCTTCGTTAAGGGGCGTGGTCCACAACTAAACACTCCTATCTTACTGACCTACAACACAGTGAAGTACCATTTAAATTTGTAGTTTCGAAAAAGTAACGTTACCCGTTATCAATAACTTAGGTAAAGAGCTTTCCAAAACGTACATAGCTATGCTTTTTCTGAACGAACTTTAAGAACGAAGTCATATCAGGTCGGCCGAAATGGTTTATCGCTTTCAGTCCGGTGAATATACTCTTCTTGGATAATCTCTGGAAGTGGTTCTCGCAAATGTACTGCAAGAAATATAGATCCGGTCAAGCTTACTCTGGCACGATACGAAAATAGGAATGTTTATGATGCACGGAACGACATCTTACCAGCATAGTCGTGCGTAAATCGAACTTATGGAAAAACTGTGTAATAAATATGTGAATCTCTAAAACGTCCGTGACATCCTTCCTCTCAACGTCTCGTAGGACGTCGATGAACCACTCGAAGTGCTTGTGCGAGGGGCATATCCATAGGAAGTATACCTGTAAGAGGATAAGACATATAAACAATCATAAGAAGAGATAGAATAACAGTTTCCCAACAACCCAAGTATGTACAAAGAAAACTTGTTTCAACCCTGAACCGATTGATCCGATACGACTCTTCTGACACGTTTTTCTCAATCACCTTTTTACACGCAACCCCGGAATATCTATTGGTAGAAGTTCCAAACACGAGGTCATTGAGCATAGAAGCATAAGGGGTGACACCGATTCCACCGCCGACCATCACAGCGACCTCGAATTTGTACCAGTCTTGATTTCCACCACCGAATGGCCCTTCGATCCTTATCTTCGGATGCTCGTCCTCGGGATTGTAATTGCAGGGATCGAAGTAGTTCCGTAGCTTCCAGGTCCAGGGACCTTGTGCTTTTATGTGACACGACAGGAAGTTTTCGTGCGGCGCCGAGGTCAACGTGAACGAATGGAATTCGTTCGACCGGAAAGCGGTGCAGGAAAGGCGGACCCACTGGCCGGACAGGTACTTTAAATTCGGCGGCCTGTAGAACTTGATCTTTATCACGTCCGATGGCAATAATTCCGTCTCGATGATGTCTAACGCCATGTATTTCGTCCGAAGGCTGACCACCTATCGAGATATGTATTTATAAACCTTACGAATCGCGTTCCATAATGCAATTTAATTGAGATTTATAGCTCAGGAACGATAAATACTTTATGCTCAACATTTAATTAATATCTCCGTTTGAGAAAAAATAGTCACGGGAATAGTACTTGTGTCTAAATTTATCTACGAAAGTGACGGAAGTCAAACGGATAATAATAGCAGTTATAAATATAGTCATGGACTTACAAAAATGGCACAGTCCAATTTACCTTATCAAGAGCGTAAATGATGGCCGGGCCGACAAAGAAAATCCAGAAACGCGGGGAGCCGGTCAACCGAGCCAGTCCGTGAATCAGACAGAGCGCGTACAATACCACGTAGAGACTGTGAGTCGACCAGAAGAATTTGTACGCCTTCTGTCGAATCATCGGATGGGCGAAGACAAAAATTATCGTCATGACGATGAACAGTAGAATTCCGGTTAAACCTGCGAAAAATGAAACAACAACGCTCAAACAGCAGGCCTTGTTATAATTAAATCCAACGTCGGTTTAACGGTCACCTGTTACGGTTCTGAAGAGCCAGAACGAAATGGTCAAACGAGCATCGCTGGGAAAGCTGAGTTCGCTTGTCAAGCAACGAAGATGAGCCAGCGGTTGGGTGGAGACATGGTAGAAGTTCACCATATGGCCCACAGTGTGGAGAACCGAGAAAAACAAAGCGGTGCAAGCCGCGATTTTGTGAAACTGTATGTGAGAGTCCAGGGGGATGTACTGCTGAATCGAGAATTCTTTCAATTTCGTCAGAAGATTACGGGACATGGTTAATAGCAGCAGGCTATAGCAAAACGACAACGCAGCCGCTGACCCTCTGGTTATGGCGATTCCGACACCCATGATGTGCCTCAGATCCGTGTGCTCGGCCATGAAAGAGTAATCTGCAACGACGGAAAGCATCCGGTCAGAACAATAACTTTGTTTCCAAACTTTCTTATTCTTCCCGTCAAGGACGCGACGAGAAATCCGAAAGTTTTCCTCCCGTCTCTTGCGTAAGACCGACAGAATCAAAATACCCAAGCGGACCATGCATACTAACATATAAATCTCTCGACGAACAGGGCGATCGTTGTAACATAGAAAACGAACAAGTAGAATATATTCTGTCGGTTTTCCTCGAGGAATGTCGACATAGCGTCCCACTGTTTTCGCGCCCAGCTCTTCGTGTCCTCGGACGGAAGTTGGTCGATATGGAAACTGGTCATGCGCGCCACATTCGTGGAAGTGTCCAGGAAGTTCTGTTTCGCGCCTTTGCAATCGAGCCCGATCGCGACGAAATCGCCCTTGTACTCTTTCATCATCAGCTTGAAATCGTTGTACGTGAGGTAATCCTTTCGTTCGAGGCCCGCGTCCTGGAGGAAAAAAAGCCTCGCTCTACACATTCTGCAACTCTGTGAAACTGTCTCGACACACGTTGATCCGTGTCAAGTAGGATTCGGACTAAAATAGAATTACTTGGAACATTCCGTCTATCAGTTCGGTAACGTGGTCATCGGATAGACTGGTGGTTCGCGCGATTTCCACCAGCGATCTAAGCATTTCCGACAGCTCCTCCTTGTCTATTACACCATTACTATCCTTGTCGCACATGTCGAAGATAATCCTCAATTTGTCCTCTGTCTTGCCTCGCGAGAACAATAGTACAGTGTCTAGGAACTCCTAAACGGCAAGATAATCGTCACCGATAAATAAATAGGATCCCTGGCGTAATTAGTATTAGGTCCAGGAATGGGTGAAAAGGTTAGATACCTGGAAGGAGATCCGACCGTCCCTATCTTTATCGACGATGTTGAACATTTTCTTCACGAATACAGCATCCGCCCGCATACCAAGGGCGCTCGCGAACTCGCTTTTAGAGAGCGAGGTCCGCATCACGGTGACCACTTCCCCGCTGTCGCTGTCATCCGAACGGCGTCGACGTTCGCCGGGTCGTAGGCCGAATGTGAGCGCGTACGCCTCCCTGAAGAACTGTGACAACGAGGTGCTTCCGTTAGTTCTCTCGGTATAGAAGAATATACGACTATTTAGCTACGTGGCCCTAACATCTTAACCGGTGAAGACGACTTTCGAAAATGACTGACTATTTTCAGCACAATTTACAGCGATTGAAATATGAGCCGGTTAAAGGGCTCATAACAGGTTAAAGAATAAGAGCCAATTTGGAGAAGTGGGAAGGGGCAACCTGCTCGAGTTTCTTTTGACGGCGTTCCTTGGTTTCCGCTTTCGCAAGCATAATGTCCCGGCTCACTTGGGACAGCGTGAAGTGCTTCTTGTGGGACGCCAGGAA